CTTTTTTAAAACTCCACAAAGAACCCCATGTGTCCAATGACACTTGGATTAGTGTCCCAGCCTTTGTGAGACTGCTTGAAGGAAACCAAAAATGTTTCCATTAAAATGCTCAAATTTAGAAACCTAATGGAATAGGGAATAGAAACCACCATGAAAAAAAATGCAAATGAGTGACACAGTAGGTTTTTACCATTTGTAGATCCACTTTGCATGTCAGGATGACTTTCAGATACACACTTTCCAGGCTCCTCGTTTAGATCCCTTCAGGTAGTGAGGTTAGTTGGCATTCCCACTTCCTTTAAGCCTGGGGCACATTAGGTCCAGAGCAGCCCTCCTCTGTTCCAGAGACTCAGGCTGAAATGACAGTGTTGGGCTTCTGCTTATCTGCCCTGATGCTTAGCTGAGCTCCTGTTTCTACCCTGTTCCCCTGTAGTGTTTCTTGGAATGGTACTTAGAAAAACGGGGTGTCATGGGGGTGTGGAAGGGCAGATCTATAATCCCCCATCATTTGGAAGTGGCAGGGGGGAGAAAGATGAGTTTGGTCTGTGTGTAGACTCATTTGAGTGGAAAAGAAGCAACTGGTGGCAAATGCAGTGGTCTGTGACAGCCCTGGAGATTTAAGAGTAAAAAATTCTGAAATGTGCAGCGTTTGTTTTACCTTTTTTTTTTCTTTTCTTTTTCCTTTTCTTCTTATTTTTTTTTTGTAATTGGGCTTGAACTTGGGGCTTAGGTGCTGTCCCTGAGCTTTTTTGCTACTTGAGGCTACAACTCCACTTAGGGTGGTGGTTAATTGGAGGTAAGAGTCTCACAGACTTTCCTGGGCTGGCTTTGAATCACTATCCTCAGATCTCAGCCTCCTGAATAGCTAGGACTACTGGCACCTGGCTTTGTTTTACTAAAATATAGTATAGACTTTGTGTGTTGTGCTATTTATATGGATATGTGTATGTGTGCATGCGTGCACACATTCACGTTTATAAATAAGGCTTTTCTTGTTGCATTACCTGCTAAAATAGCTAATGAAGCTACCTAAGATCCCATGAGCCAAAGAAAATAGATGTTTCAGTGTATGATCTTCTAGTCTGTTAGTAAATGTATGTGTTTTATGATTTTACTTTTTTCATCTAAATTATTTACCCTCATCCATTGTAAAATTATAAAACTCCATCAGCAGTAACCTTCTGCTATTTAGTTAGAAGACAACATCTCCAGGAGCAAAGTTTATCGCCTTGGTATTTAAAGGGAAAACTCCTTCCTCCTTGTGTTCATTGGCCAAGTCTCATCTCTAGTAGAGAATTTGCCATTTGTTTTCTCCAAGGAACACCTTGTGCTTAGGGTGCTTTGGAAATTCAATTCTCTAGCTTTTCTCACCTGTGTAGATCACACTGTGAAAGTTTCCTGGGATCCCTTAGAAGTAGCATTTGTTGCTGTCTGGGTGCTAAAAGCAGATAGGTGCCATCTGTGAAAGTTGTCTTCTGCCCCTTTTTTACCCAGAATGGACCAAATGAGACCCTTCAGAGGTGCCATTTCTGCCCAGATGCTTCACATGGACTATGTGACATGATTTATAGACCATAAACCTCCTGCTCCTGCAGGGTGCACCAAGTCAGCATTCATCTAAGAAAAGCTCGGGATATGGCAAGAAGTATGGGATAGTGATGCTTCCTGTGCCCGTCCAGAAAGATAACTTGCAGTTACCTCTACCCAGACAGGAGCTGAGCCATGCGTGTCTAGGTCTGGGAGAATTCTGCCAACCATAGACCCTTTGAGTGTTTTCCATAGGTCTCCCAGCTGTTTTCAATCCTCTGAATAATTTTAGCTAAGCTAAATTATAAATTGTATTAAGGAGGTTTGTTCCAGCATTCATATTTATTAGATTTTAAGATTTAATGACCATATGGGCCTAAAACAAATCTTTGATTTCTTTTTTTTTTTAAAGCAGTCAAGTGGATGCTCTTGATTTTGACTATTTAAATATTAATTTGTGGTCATAACCTACTTTTGGCTCCTGTAAAAGGTGTGGCTTTTAAAAATGATGGTTTTCAGCAACTCACAAGGAAAGAGGAACCAATGTCTCCTTGAATTAAAAGAAAAAACTCTTACTGTTGGTAGAGTATAGCTCTATTACTTGAGACTTCTTGAATGTTCCATGGACCACTTCCTGAGGAAACAAATTGTCCTGTATCTTTCAGACTGGATTTGTATAATAGATAGTCCAAGGGCCATTAATTAATTTATTTTTATTTTTAAATCTGTACTTTCTGCTTTAGTGAGATGTCAATGTGGTGTTCTTGCAGAAGAATTCTAAATAAGGCTAAAGTATCTGTTATCAGTCTTGGAAGGATGTTCATGGAAAGCAAAAGCTGGGTGTGTGTTTGAGTGTGTCTAACACCTGTCTTCTGCAGTAACTGCCCTTCTATGGCATGCTGTTCCCACTCAGCATTATATTTTGGAGGCTGTCCATGTTGTTACCTGTAGAGTGTGCTCATTGCTATTAAACTCTGCAGAGTGCTTTGTAGCTTGGCTACTCCATAGTTTATTTAGAACTTATAGTAGTGTCCAGCTTTCCTTTCTTCCCACAGTGCTGAGGTGAACATCCTTGTGACCGCCTTCTTCCTTCACAAGAGTATGCAAGTGTTTGTGATAGAGAATGAAAAATGCCCTTTATGTTCATCTCAACGGACAGGAATTTAAGACTGGCCAGAGTAATCTTATATAATTGGAGAATATGGATTGAAACAATTTCCCCTGATTCCACTTAGCTAACTGGAGATTCTTTATGAATTTTTGGAGATCACTGGGATTCTGGAAAATCAAGTTCTTAGGATCAGAAAAAGTAAAAAAGTAATAGTAAAAAGTAACAGTGAAATCTTGCTTATTCCAAGTGGGATCATCTGAATTGAACCACATAACAATGTATAAGTTGAAGTATATACAGTGAGACACACTTGCATAACTCAACATCAGTTCCTTAAGGAATGAAAGAATAAAAGTACCTAAGAATTATTTTTAAGGCTGAAGACTTATTAAAATTGTCCAGTCCCTTCTTACCTATAAGTAAAGCTTTCTAAGTCTTTATGTCTTTATATGCTAATGTCCTTAGAAAATGGAATTTCCCTCACTAGAGCCAGATAACCCTACCTCCTTCATTTCTGAATGATGTCATTCAACCAAGGATGGTGACAGAGGTGGACATTGGAATTGGGCCAGGTCGGAGGCTTTTATTTTATTATATTTCCAATCTTATGAAGTAAGCCTTCTTTTCATTTCATCAGAAACTGAAGCACAGAGGGCTCCAAAGTGGCATGCTGAAGATCGTCTGGGTTTGCCTGACTTGAAAGGGAAATATTCTTTCTACTCTATCACAGTCCCTTGAATACAGTCCTCAGGAGACTCCTTCCACCTAGGAAGGTCCACAGGAACATTTGTTTAAGGCTGCAGCTTCCTGGAGCTCTGAGGATGGAACCTGAGACTCTGCATTTTTAACAAGATTCTGATGATTCCTTATGCATTCTGAAGTCTGAGAGCCACTCTGGCAGACTGAGGCAACCTCATTTGGTAATGTGAGGAGCCTTGTCATCAAGTGCCCCAATGCCTCTTAGGGATCAGGCAGTCTTGTCATGCCTCACTTGCAGCAGGCACATTAGCATTGCTCTTCTGGGTGGCTTCCTCCTTCCTCCCCCACTTCCAGTGCCTGGGATTATTTGCGCTGACTTAGCAGGGCTCACGGTTTGACAAGTCACTTCCCAAAGAGTTGAAATCATGTTCTATCAGAATCACTTGCAAAAGCAGGTTGAAGTTTCTAGTGCAGAAGTATCGCATCTCAAGTGTCTGTCTCTTTGGCACCCTGTACAGATGGAATCTGCATCTTGTAGTCTAACCCCTGTTCAAACCCAAATAATAACAACAACAACAATAATAATAAAAAAGAGCAGCTCATAGAAAACAAATTACTTTTGAAACACCCCTCTGTGCTTTATTTTCCTTTCTCACCTCCCTTTCCCACCCCTCCCCACTCCCATGAAAGATTCCCTCATAAAACGGCCCCTGGTTGCTGCTTGCTTTCCTAGAAGTGAGGAGTTCCCTGGACCCTCATTCAGCTCCACCCCCTCACTGTGGACAGCCAGCCAGGTTCAGTGACCATCATTGCTTCCTTTGCCTTTCTCTTTTCTCCCTCATTATCTTGTTTCTCAGCTCTGTGAAAGATTGTCTTTTCATTCCTACACAACATGTTTTCTCCAGAGAGTCCAGTCTGAGCCCTAGCCCTTTTCAGTGAGCTGAGTATGAGGTCGCCCATGACTGACAGGCATCGATCTGTTGAGGTGCTGTGATCTGGAGGGGAATCTTAGATCAACTTGGTCTCCTTGGACTCCTGTTACTAGTTCATCTTCCTTCCTGGCAAAAGAGCATCTGTCTTTGTTTTGGTGTTGAGCTCATCCAAGTAAAGAAGGCATTTTCTCTTCTGAAAGGAAAAGAGAGAGAGAAAGAGAGAGAGAGAGAGAGAATAAAAAAAGACAGAAAAGGAAAACATTTTAATTTTAACCATGCACTCCTTCCTCTGTCCTGATTGGTCCACTTCAATTGACAAGTGGATCGCGAGGAAAGGAAATATCCTAGACTTAATTGTAAGTTAAGTCTCTCTTAATCCAGAAGAGCATTTGAGATTCTGTCCAAGTGTTCAATTTCCCAGGCCGCTGAGGTCTGTGAATTTCTTTTTCCCAGCCTCCAGGCTGCTGCAGTACAAGTCAGCATAGCTAATGCAGATAGATCTTCTGCCTCTCGCTCTCCTCCTCCCTCTGCTTTGATTCGATATGAACAGCCCCGGTAACTCCGATGCTGGGGAGAAATCTGACAGAACTCTGCAGATGCCTAGGTGGCCATGAAACACCTGGGGATTGTTCTTTAAGAAAAAGGTAACATTTATATGCTAATGATTTCTCCCCCCCTCCCTCCTTCCCTCCCCCCTCTCTCCTTGTTTGCATTTTTTTCTCTCTTTTCAGGGCTACCAGTTCCTAAGAAGAGCCCAAAGTCGGTAAGGACTTGTCACTTACTTGATGGTTGTTTGTGGGTGGGGGTCGCTGGTGGTGGTGGGAGGGTTCGCTAAAAGGTTCCACTTCACTAAATGTGATTGAGTGGTGGCGGGTGGGGGAACAGGAGCTGGGGCTCATTTTATTAAGTTCTGGGGAATCTGTTTGGTCTAGATGGTATTGGGGCTTGTCTTTTAACTATGTAGGGATTTGGGAGTAGGTTTCAGGAACTAGGATAAAGAATGCATGTTGAATGTCTTCTCTATGCAAATATATCACAACTCTCCTTCAGGTGAATGAGTTTCTTAGCTGTTTTAACTTGATACAAATGCTATTGTTCCCTGGGGGGGGGGGGGGGTGGGAAACAAAACAAAAAAGGCTCCACCTGCTTCCCGGAGTAGCTAGCCTAGCTCTCAACTGGTGTTCACAGCGGTTCGCATGGCTACTCATTCTCTTCCTGAGATTTCTTATGTGTTGGATGTTAAATTATTTACCAAATCAAAAGCCTGTGGGTTTTGGAAACAGTGGCCATTGCCCTGTTACGGATGCACGCTAAGGAAGAGCCGTGCTCACTGTCCAGCACTGAGAATAAGACATTTTCTTGCTGTGGGAATGTTCTTTGTTGTTTTGCTGGGTTTAGCAGCATTATGCTGCAGGTATGGGATTCTTTAAAAAAAAAAAATCAATGTGCTGCTGTCCTTTCTAATCTGGTTTCCCTGAAGATACATTACTGAGTTGACGTGTTGGCTAATAGCTTAAAGGGTATAGTGTTTTGTTTGGTGGTATGAGCTCTGGCTCTCAGGGCACTAAGAGCAGATTAAAATGCTACTTAAAAAAAAAAAAGAACAACTCAGAATCTGGAACTGCGATGCCTGTGAAATTGATGTGGGCAGATAAGGCTTCCCAATTCGTTGGTATTAGGACAAAGAAAAGGGGCTCCGTGTGACTTAGATGGTCTAGGGGAGGGAAAGATCACAGTGTGGTGCCACCTAGAAAAGGAAGACCTTAAAAACTTTGCAGCTTAGGGTGCTGTCACAGGAACCCCCCCCCCCACACACACACACTTATCTACAAGCATGGCAGCAGAGGCAGAAGTTTAAGGAGCTGAGGGGAAGGGAGGGAGGGGGCAGTAGTGGAGCTTCTTGCATTCAAAGCTTCATTTCTAAGTTCTCTCCGAAGAGGAAAGCCTGCAGTAACTGGTGTGATCACCATGGCATAGCACCATGGTGACAGGGACACTGACTTCAGGGCTGCTTTCCTTGTCAGCTTGAGTTAATGTCCAGGCAGGAAAGTGCCGGTTGGTGTCCACATTGGAATCCCAAAGTGGACACATGTGCGCATGTGTATCTCCCCATCCCCTGGGTCATAGAAACCCATTCAGCCTTCAGAAAAATAGAAGTATGTGTGGAAGAGCTTGAGTTAGGGCGCTCCATCCCTTTTCCTCCCCCATCCCTAGCCATGCTGTATTGACACAGGACTTATTTTACACACCTCAAGGGGCACCGAGTCTTGACAGGGAAATTCTAGGAAGACAGAGCAAGTTGTGCATTGGAAGCATGGCATCAGGTAAATTTACCATACCAAGGGATTTCTGCAATCCACTTGGGTGCCATCTTCTCCAGCCTGTTTTGGAAATGACCTGGTAAAATAAAAAGGTACCAAACAAGTACAGAGCCTGGGTGCACCAAGTCAGTTACAAGAATTCCCTCTGACAGTTGATTTTTTTTTTTTTTTTTTTTAGTAGAAGCAGTGTCATTAGTAAGTAGCAAGCCAATTACTCTGATTGTATTCTTAGGGAGAGGGAGAGAGAGAGAGAGAGAGAGAGACCAGAGACCACTCCTAACTGCTTTGCCCACAGTCTGTTGGCTCTTAATTACCACAAGCTAAGAGGGTGGTTTGTTTCTGGGGCTCCCTAAGAACACCTGCCCCCACTCACCACGCCCAGTGTGGGGCTTGTCCTCACCAGGTTCCTGAGCCAGGATGGGTTTGCAGGGCATGGCTGGCACTGGCACAGGTGCTGCACACAGTTTGGGGGCTGTCGACCAAGGGCCGCCGTTGGCAGCCTCTGTGATCAGGGCAGTTCTGTACAGGTGGGTTGAAAGCTTTTCTCTTTCCCAGTTTGCATTTGGATGATGTCCTGCCAGAGAGACAGATGATTATGAGATGTCTGGGGGTAGGAGGGAATCTGTAGGGAAACTGGATATTCTGGAACCAATGAGCTACTCAGGTCATGGCAGTGGGTCAGTTCTGCATGCTGCATAATTAAAGGCATCTGATGGTGCCTGGGTGTGACTCATATAGATTTCCCAATAGCCCTGTGAATACAGTGTCTGAATGTAGTCTTGATTTTTTTTTTTCCAGGGTGGGGAGGTTGTTTCTCTTTGAAAGTTCCCCAATGTGATTGGTTTCCTTTTGTATTCTTACACCTTTTTTAATTTTTTAAAAAAATAATTAGGTCATTGAGTTTTTATGACAACTGTAGGGCTTACCTTTTTCATCTTGTTTCACCTTTTGGATAGTCCCCATAGCTTCACTCCTAGTGAGCAATTTCACCTACTAGATTTAGTTTAAATGCTGAATTTATGGTTTATGTACTCACTGGGGACAATGGTAGTGTCTTAATGAAGTTTTATTAATTTAATATCTGGACTTCTATAACATGAGGGATTTTTCTGCCAAATGGCCAAGACAGAAATAAGACATATTTGCTGTCAGATTTTAGATCTCTGTGGAAAGTTAATGCCATGGCCCAACTTAATCATCTTGACTGGAAGTTGACTTAACTGAGACTCTCAGTTTAAATGACACACAAACACTCCATCTTATGTATGGATGGAAATTGAAAACTCTACACTTTATACCTAACCCTGAATTTGAAGTCACCTGTGTTTTCCTAAGTCGTATTTCAACTTTTCCCCTTCTCCCTCTCTTCATTTGTCCATCTGTGTCTTTTCATCCATCCATCCATAATAATGTTCAGCCACCCATCCATACATATATCTTTCATCCATTTGTCCTCCATCCCTCTATTTCTCCATTTAATCAGCAAATTAGTAGCAAGAGCTATTGGAAATTCTATAATAAATTGGATAGTCATTGCATCTGTCTCCTTGTACCTTATAAGGCTGTCACACTATTCTCCCCCCCAAAAAAAGGATTCACTGTCAGTATTATCAGAAATACTTAATGGATTCATTTCATTCAAATAGACACTGAATATCTTCTATGTGCCTAGCCTAGAACAAGTATCCAGTAGAAACCAGACCGAAAGTACTTATGCTTTGATGAAACTAAGGGAGAGAAACAGTACCCAGAGCAGTCAGGGATATGCAGTCTTTACCTCATGGGGATTGAAGGCTAATGAAGTCAAATACTTTCAAAAGTTGGTAAAGCAATAGCCTCACACTGTTGGCTCAGAGTTGTAATCCTAGCTACTCAGGGGCTGAGATATTGAAGATTGTGGTTTGAAGCCTGCCCCGGCAGTAAAGTTTGTGAGCCTTGCTATCTCCAGTTATTCAAAAAATCAGAAAGTGGAGCTGTGGCTCAAATGGTAGAGTGCCAACTTTGAACAGAAAAGCTAAAGGACAGCAGCCCAGGCCCTCATTTCAAGTCTTAGTACCTGTGCCCATGTGTGTGCACGTATGCGCGCGCGCGCACGCACACACACACACACACACACACACACACACACACACACACACACACTGCTAAGCAGAACTGTAGGACCAAGTAAATATGTGAAATATATCATTTGGCTCCTAATCCCAGTAATACAAATTAAATACTCCTACAAAGCTGACACCCATGATGGAGTGAATTGCTGTGATTGAGCTATGCAGTTTGTTCGAGTTCCCCCAGTGTCCTATGTAGCATAGGAAACCACAGTAGTTATTTCACTGTTATCACTAGATAACGGAAAGTATACCACATTTACTAACGAGACAAACTTTCCCAGTCACTTAAAAACTCACACCAAGTTCATACAGGGGCAAGGTGTTCTTTTCCATCTCTTTACAGCAAACATAGCAGGCTAAAAGATTACAGAAGGACAGATTTCTCTTCTTCTGTCCTTTATCCCTTTTCTCTTCAAAGGATGCTAAAGGAAATATCTAAAAACAGTCATTAGGACACGTGAGGGAGAGATAGAAAGGCCTTGTAGATAACACTGAGTGACTCCTGCCTCCGCTGATCCGCTTTGTGTGCCCTCCTTCTCTCACGCTCTCCCTGTTTTCCTTCTCTCCACACCCCCAGCCAGGCCAGCACAGTATAGAGAAGCATCAAAGTTTCTATAAGCTACAAGGAGCAGCGATGAGAATGGGAGATGAGAGCACAGGTTTATTTAAGGCAGCTGTCTGGTTGCCTCTCACCTCCCACAGTGACTCATGCTCTCTCTCCATGGAGTCCCCTGGAAACTAGACTTAGCTGTGTGTTATATTTCCTCACAATATTCAATGTGAACCAAAATTCATTTTCATAGCCAATCAAGGCTTCCCTTTTCTTCTCCACTAACTCCTTTCTCCTAGCTTTTGGGAAGAGAAAATGTTTGACTCTGATCCATAAATGATAAAAGAAAGAAACAGAAGGACCCTCCTGTGCTGTGGCTTGGATTGGAGTCTTTGAGTTTTGCGCAACCTTTAATGACATTGGCTTCATACCTCATCAGCACTTGGAGCTCTTCCTGTTGTCCATGTAAATCACTGCAGTGGCCTTGGGTCTTGGCAGATAAGTGAACTGTAAATAATTTTGCTTTAAAATGGATCAATTTGTCGTTTTTAAGCCACATGAATTCTTTTCATCATTTAAGCTCCTAAGTGCTGTCTGTATTCATTTGCTCTTCCGAGCAAATATTTTCAGTTCACTTTATAAGTACCTCCATTTCTAAATCATTCTGTGAAATACTGATGAGATGAATTTTCCCCCCATTTCCATTTATAAAAACCATTCCATCTTCTTGATTTTGCTGGCCTGACAGTAAGTAGGAGGAGGATCATTCATTCTAAGGAGATGGATGTATAGTTTTATCTTGAAAAAGGTCTTGTGATGCAAGTTCACAACCAGTGCACAACCAAGGACTTTTATGGAGGAATTAAACTAAAACATAGATCTTTTCTTCCTAGTTGGCTGTGAGTTGAGACTCAGAAATAAAACTCTTAGTGTTGGTGATACCTGTCTCTGTATGTAGTGTCATTCCTCTTTCACTCTAGAGACTTGGAGAGTGGTACCTTATTTTTATGATGCCCTTCTCCCTCTCCCCTCCTCCTTTTCCTCTTCTTCCTCCTCCTCTCTTCTTTTTCCCTTGTAAGCTGTGCCTATTGAATTTGGCACAAATACCTTATAGTGTCAGCATTCCTCTCCCTCATCCCTGCCACTGGCCCAGTCAAAGTCTCCTCACGGCCATGAAGAAGACGTCAGCAGTGGTCCCTCCCTGGCATCAGTGCATTTACTCCTTTCTCTGTCACTCTGTTCTCCGCCTGGAGCCAAGCCAAGCGCACTGGAACTACGTTGGATCTTGGCTTATCGCTATTGGAAATTCATAAATGAGTGCTCCTCTGAAACCACGAGCGAAGAGCAAAGTCCTTTTAACCCACACATTACTTGCATGATGTAGCCTCCCAGTTTATCTCAAGACATCCCACACCTTCACTGGGACATGCGAGGCTTTCTGTCCTTCCGAAAGATCAAGTTCATTTTTTCTGTGGTGATTCAGAACATGCTGTATCCACTCATAGATCAGTCTTCTGCAGACCCTTCTTCGTTTTCTTTCTAAAAGACAGTGTAGTACATTATCAATATATTATGAATAATTAAGATTTATCTATTGACATATGTTCAAATATATCAGATATACACTTGGGTGTGAATTTTCAAGAGTCCAGGTATAATCTCTTCCTTGTTGTTGTTGTTGTTGTTTTCCCATTGAATGCCTCAGTGTCTGGCACACACTATATATTTATTGTTACAGGAATAGAGGCATCACAGGTGATCACTGTAGGAGGGTGCAGTCTAATATTCTGTCATTCATGTACTAGGTGCTTCTCTGCATCCATAGTATTAGCATGTACATGGCTCCTTTAACAGGCTTGAAAAATGTACCCCTAGTTGTAGCTGCTTATCTTTGGGCTAATACCTCACCTTGAAAAAGAAGGCATGGTGGTACATACCTATAATCCCAGCATGTAGGAGGTAGAGGGAAGGAGAATTCCGAGTTGCAAGTCAGCCTGGGCTACTTAATAAGATCCCATCTCAGAAAACTGGAAAGCAAACAAAAGAACAAGGTGAAGGGTAGTCACATGAGATGCAGGTCTGATCCTGTGCTGTTACCAGCTCAGCAGCAAATTTATTTTCATGCCCAGAGTCTCTGGGGAAGTAATCCAGAAAAGGGCATCCAAGCTGACCTTGATTGGGGCGCCCTATAAAATAGGTATTCTCCTGAAAAATCATGGGCCCTAACCAAACGAAGGACCACATCATGACTAACTCGCATGCCTAGGAAATGAAAAGTTGTATTTTGGACATTTACACACAAACCATATACCATAGCCTCACGTGTAGCCAGTAGGTTATTTCAGTACAGAATACCTTCAGATTGCAGAGTTTTCATAGTTGTTTTTGAGAAGAACATTGAATGAACTTAAATGCTTCCAAATTCCAGTGTCTTTAGCGCAGCAGCCTGCCTTTTCTCTAAGCCTGTGAGAGTTCAGTGTTGAGAGAGAGAGTGTGTGTGTGTGTGTGTGTATGTGTTTGTGTGTTTTCCTTGCACATTCTCAGGATGTTCCTCTACTTCTGTTTTCTGAGGGATAAAGTTTAGATGGCATTTAAAAGGGACTGAGAGATGCAGTTAAGCTAAGAAGCAGTTTTGCAGTCTCATTTCAGATTGTAGCTGTCATTTTGTGTTAAATTGGACCTAAATGAGTCATTTATTGGGGAGGTGAGAAAAGAATCCAGTAGACTTTATTTGCATATCTCTTTATGGTAAAGCCATCTTCTCTAGTTAAACTTAAGGGATCTAGATTTTCTATGTCTGAGGTATCATAGGGCCTTAGGAACCCATGTGGCCACAACCTGTACACACACATGGGTGCATGGGCACAAACAAGTGGTCCTTCTCTGCAGGAGAAAGGCCCACCAGTCAGTGGAACACGGCTTCCAGAAAGATATTTTTCTCCAGTTCAGGACAAGTGGTCAGGTGGAAGGTGATGGTGTTCATCCTCATCTAGATATCAGAGTGCTTTCCTGGCATCTTTGCCCACAGTATGTCATCCCCTCAAGTGTGAGCAAATCCAGTCTTTGCTAAAGCTTTTACCCCACCAAGAAATAGTCCTCAAATTTCCCCCCGAGGCACACCAAGTATAATTTCAGATGGCCTATCCTGCCTTCATGAGATATATACCCAAATGTCCTCAACTTAGGATTCCTGCAGAAACCTGTTTTAGGGTCTTAAATAACCAAGAGCCAATGAAATCTGTTCTTGGGCTTTCTTCAGATACTTTGTTCGCAGGAAGGATTGGCAAGGGAGCAAGAAAAAGGACCCAAGAATTGAAAGGCCTGTGGAATTCACTGGTGGGAACTGCAAGATGGAAGATACCTGGAGAGAAAGCAACGAAGTAGGGCCTTAGGATTGAGAACAATGCCTGGTGGAAGCACCTAAGGCATGGGAATGCTCAAGTTGATGATCTTACACCCCTTTAAAACATGAGAACGTAGGATGGGCTCTATTAGGGAGAAGGCCCCTTCCTGCCCTCTACCCCTCTCTGAGGTTTTTAAGTCGATGAATATGGTGATATGTGACATGTTAAGCAAGAAAAAGGCAGAATTTTTGTCTTAAATAATAAAAAACAAAAACCAAAATACCTAGGAGAAAAAATATAGGAACTAGAATTATTCTTATTTTCCACTCAGTTATACTCCATGGAGGCTTATCAGTCACTATCCAGAGAGACAATACCACAAAGTGGGAATGGTCTTTTCTTGGACTGGTTTTAATGACCAGGAATGTGCTTATTCTTCTGAAATTTAAATACCGAGTACTGCTTGTACTTGGGAAATGTTTGCAAGGCTAGGAAGGCTGACTTGTAGAAGACAACTCACCGATAAAATTGGATCTTGATTTATCCAACTAACAGTAGTTTCAGCTGTTCAAAAGTAAAACACAAGGCCTGTGAAGTTGATTAGCTATGAATTATGAAATCTTTTTACCTTATATTTATTCTATACTGCACATACAATACTAGGCATGATTTTGTTTTAAAATATGATTTAAAAAAATTACAAGATCTGACCTCTTTTGATCCTGGTCCAGAAGAACTGATGGCAAACTATTAAAGAGGAGTTGGAAGGGATATTATTATTATTATTATTATCATCATCATCATCATCATCATCATCACCATCATCAAAAGATGTAACATATGGAGCCCCAAGAAGTATTTTTAGTGCCGATTATATTTCTTCTAGATATTACAGCCTTACAGCTAAACTGCTCATGCTATTTTGTATCACATATTTTTGTCAAGAAATAGGATGTTAAAACTGATACATCTTGCAATAAACAAACCCAGTGTCTTAGGTGGGAACCTAAGATGAAAACTGGATTCATTTTTCTGCTGTGGTCCAGAGAGAACCATGGTCTGTGATTATGTCTTTCTGTCTGTCCCGCCCTTCTATGTGTCTGCCAATCACTTGGTGATTTATCTGCATGCAGCAAGAGATGGAGCAAGGTGGAAGCCAGGCTGCTGTTGATGTATTTATATATTTGCATACAGGAGTGCAGAACACAGACGGGGTTATGGGAAGCGCTCACTTAGAGAACCACGGTCATTTCTGTCTCTTGCTTACTTCCAGCAACCACTGGAAAGGAAAGACAGCCAGAACAGCTCCCAGCACAGTGTGTCCAGCCACCGGAGCCTGCACACAGCATCCCCAAGCCACAGCACTCAGGTGCTCCCCGAATATCCACCTACAGAGGCCCCCACCCCAGAGCAGACTGACAACTCTGGGCAGAAAAAACCAGATCCTTTTAAAATCTGGGCCCAGTCCAGGAGCATGTATGAAAACCGACGTGAGTAACACACCAGTTTCTCCTTTCCCCCATACTCCTCCCAGGGCTCCAGCTGTTCTCTGACAATAGGAGATGAAAGACAGTGATAGAAAGTAGAGAGGGGATGGGGGTAGGGGTGCTGGCTCAGTGGTGGAATGCTTGCTTTGCATGCATGAGGCCCTGGGTTCGATTCCTCAGCACCACATAAGCCGGAAGTGGTGCTGTGGCTCAAGTGGTAGAGCACTAGCCTTGAGCTGAAGAGCTGAGGGACAGTGCCCAGGCCCAGAATTCAGACCCCACAACAGACAGAAAAAAAAAGGAAGGAAGGAGGAAAGAAAGAGAGAAAGAAAGAATTCAGACCCTACAACCGACAAAAGAAAGAAAGAAAGAGAGCGAGAGAAAGAAAGAAAGAGAGAAAGAAAAAGTAGAGGAAGATAAATCAAGGTGGAAAGCAGAAGTGTCTCAGACAAGTAGAACCTGAAGATGTTCATGGAGGCTGTATTATGTCCACTTTGGAGGTGGGGATAGAAATGGTAATCAAACAGATGGCCTGCATAAAAGTTGATTTATTTTTCTCTTCACTTGTAAAGCAGTGAGTGACAGAAAAGAAAAAAAAATAGTAATTACCTCATTAAGTCTTCCTTATAAGCGAAGATTGCAGAATGCCCTGTGATAGCCTATACAATGAAATTTAAATATGACTGTAGGGGTAATGAGAAATTAAATGCTTTCTTAGTGGTCTCTTGAGTTTTAAAAATACTGGTAATTTCTTTTTTTTTTACTACGATATGTCTTTCTAAATGTTCCCCTCAAAAAAGAAAAAGCGAACAATAGAGTGATTTGTTCTTTATTTATACAGTGGTTGAGTCCTTGGGTTTTACCTTTTCTAGGAAAATGAGCCTGTGATGATGGTATGCTCCGTAATTTCTTGAGTCTTCTAAGCCTGGTGTCCCCTTCATGTGTAACTTGTGTCTTTTGAATTATGAAGTGATTTCTGAAGACGGTGAACCATAAGTAACACTCATCCACCTCATTAGTGACAGTTCCTAAGTGCTTGAGTGAGAGGTGGCCCAGATGGGCCCACTTTGAGGGTGTTGCAGTTTCTGAGGTTTTTGTCCTGAGTGTCATTGGTCACAAGTGACAGACCTGTCCTCTCCTTCTCCCTTTTTGGTTTGGGATGGAGTAGTGAGCGCTAGGAAGAAGATACATTGTCAAAGGCCCTGAGAGAAGATGGAAGGCAGAAGACACCATTTTACCCATCCTTTATGGCCTGAGCACCCCCCAAACTTCAGCTTTTTTTTCCTAGTCACAAGCTGTGGCCCCCTTGAAGGGTTACAATGCAGAGGCTGTGTAAAGGGTAAAAGCACCCCAAACCTTAATCCACCACCCACAGTTTGTTTTATGCTTTGTTCCTGTGCTAGCTGAAGGGCAAGTTAGGAGCTTTTAACTTTTCTGTGACCCGGACAAGGAAAGGGAGTGAGGCTAGCAACCCAACCTTCGAAGGAAAATTCACTCCACCTTTGGATGAAACTCAACTATGAGAGCTTCCAGGAGAGCCTGGAATGCTGCTGATTCTGTTACAAGTTGCTCATAGTTGGGCCCTGGTGGCTCACGCCGGTAATTCTAACTACTCAGAAGGCTGAGATCTGAGATCATGGTTTGAAGCCAGCCCACACAGAAAGTCCATAAGACATTTAAAGTCAACTAATCAGCAAAAAGATAGAAGTGAAGCTGTGGCTCAAGTAGTAGAACATCTTCAGCAAAAATGCTAAAGCCAGAGTGTACAAGACCCGGAGTTCAAGCACTAGTACTGGCACTGTTTAGGGAGAAAAAAAAAAAAACTTGTTCAGGGTCCCTCCATACCTTTCCCCTTCTCGGGATGAATAATTGTCCAATTGCTATATCAGCATGTATCATTAAATATATTTGTGTTGGCTGGTGCTCACTATGCTGCTGAAGGCTAGCTAATTTGGAAAGATATAGACTTAGTCCCAGGATTACAACCATACCATCAACTACCCTGAATGCCAGGCTAAAGGAAATGAATGAAATTTGAAGCAGTAGGTAACTGCTAAGTTCATCCTGGGTTACCCTTATTTGAAATGTTCAGCATCACAAGTGTTTTAGATGCCTGATTTTTTTTTCAGGTTTTGAGATACTTGTTTAGACATAATGAGAAACCCTGAGCCCTGAGTCTAAACTTAAAACTGTATTTCAGTCTCATATATGCCTTATGCATATGTACAGTATTCTAATGATTTTTGTTTTGTACATGAAAAAGTTTCAGGGTGTAGAGATTTTCCACTGTGGCATCATGTCTATACTTAAGCAGATTTCAGAGCATTTCCAGTTTTCAGGTTAGGGACACTACTGCTGAGAACCTGTGGCTCCTACACACTGGGATTCTTTATTAATTATAGCGATGTCACTTTCCAAAAGTACTGGACAAATGTCTTCTAAAGGGATTATTTCTGTATCCCCTTCATATTTCTCTGTACCCATACAGCTTCTCTAATCGATGGCCCAACTCCAGGGGATGTTGACTGATTGCTTTATTGACCACACTTCTGCCTTCTTCAATACAATACACATTTGTGATGGGAGTTTTCCATGTACAAGTCTTTCTGTGATTTAAAAAAAAAAAAGTGTATTCTGTACTATCGGTGTGGCCCTCTACATTGGCAGTCATGTTTCATGCAGCTCATTTTTACTCTAAGGATTTGTGTGGTTTTGTCTAACTTTTAAGAAAGTTTTAACTGGGAGAAAAATAAATGAACAATATGTAATATGGCCATAACCAGCCACTGTAAGCTTCAGACTTCCCACGTCAGACTTCAGGCATGCTGAAAAATAGTAGAATAGTTTCAGTCTGGATCCTTCATTTCCTTTAACATCTGAAGAATCAGGTAAAGCATCACAAATGAGAATCAATTTCTTTTGTGGTGATTAGAGTCTCTGTAATTGAGTGATAGTCAAACCTAATAGATGTTAAGAGTCCCATGGATTTGTTCTTCACTGCTGAATGAGAAAAATGATGTGGCTCATCCCCATGGTAGCTATTCAGGATCTGTCACAGAGTTTCTTTTCTAACACCTGTGAACAAATCTGCATCAGCCTTTCAATTAGTATTTGACTTCATCCCAGATCGGTTTTGGCCACTGCCCTAGGTGGTTTTAACTTGTCCTTTATGAACAACAATTTGAAAAAATACAGTGTGTAGTCTTGAGAAGATGTAATTCCCTGCCTCTCCTTTCATAATACAATGAACAAAGTACTCCAGGAAAAACAAGAAAATCAAAGACAACAGCAGCAACTTAATTGTGCATTTTATCCCCAGTTGTTTGGAAATATTTTTGTTAATGGCAGTGTAAAGATGAACACACTTCTGATCACATTCTTTCTAAGTGTTTTACCAAACAGTGTATTTTTTTTCATGTTACCATCTGCTAAAACAGTGACTGTCAGAGTGAGCCCCTCGGAGTTGCAGATGTGTTAAGAAATCCCTCTGAAGGGTTTCAATGTTTAATTAAAAGAGAGAAAGAGGCACAGAAGTCCTTAAAAAGCCATGTTGCCTGTTTTGGATTTTCTCTAGGTAACATATACCTTTAAAAATGACATTGATTCAGTCTGACAGCTGATATCCAGTAGCATTTACAAAAGAAATTCTATGACTAGGGATGTGGCAAAAGTGGCAGAACACTTCTTCATCTGTTTATAGTGTGCCTTGAGGGAAAAAAAACAAAAACAGCTCAAAACTGCCATATGAACTAACATGCAAGCATGTCCTGCTTGGGAGAGACACGCCCACAGGTTTGGCATCAGGATTGAGTATCTTTATTGTGTGTTTAAAGAGCATATATGTATGTCAAGATTTAGAGAACTATTCTGACAGTTCCTATTTTTATGTTTGTTCAGATCTTGGACAAGATTCTGTGGTTTGTATCTCAAATATGAGACTTTTCTGATTTGAACTGCCTAGAATATACCAGGAATGAATACAAGAATGAATTCTACCAGGAACTTGATACTCTCTTAAATAAATGTTCCACTATAGCAGTGGCACAAATGTACTTTTTTTTCCCCAAAGGTGATAATGTGGTTAAACACCTGAGTTCCTGACATGATTAAGACAAGGCCATTCAAGAAGGTGTGCTTTAGAGTCTTAATTAAATAGGAAGAGACTAAGATGGCAATTGTACCACCTTAATGGTACAATTATAAGTGCTAGCTTTCTGATGAGTAAAGGTCTTGAAACAAAAATAAAAGAGAGTAAAAACAAAAAAGACATCAAATTATAGTCCTTTTAAAGTTCATACAGCCATTACACTCTTCTTACCAGTAACAACTAAAGTTAAAGTATACTAACAGAAAGGACATACATGAAGCTTTGCAAAAACTGTGAAATTAATATTCCAGCTATGTCACCTTCGCCTGCATCGGGATTGAGCAAGGGTGAAAGAGAGAGAGAAATCAATTCCACGAATTTTGGAGAATGTCAGAGTAAGGACCTGCTGCAAGCTTGTATTTCTCCATTATCATTCATCCTGTTTAATGTTCCTATCCGCAGGGGGTGGGGGGGGGCAGGGAGAAGTTCAGAAAAGGGAGGGAAGAGAGAAAAACCACTAATTGCGTACATTGGTGCTCTTTGCAGCCAAGACTGATGAGATGGCGTAGGAAGAGATGTGCATGTCTTCACCCATTCTGGAAATGTGTTGTGTGTCTGTAGCGATGGAGACCCCAGGCAGTGTCTCTGAAAACCTGGTGACTCCATTCTTTAGAATTGTCAAGGGAAGTCTTTTGTCTCCTTTATTGAGCAACCATGGGCGCTGCCAAAAGATTGCTTCCTATGCAAGGACTCGTATATGTAAATCTAAGGGGCAGAGATTGGGAAGATCATGATTTGAGGCCAAAAAGTTTGCAAAACCTCAACTCAGCCAGCTATACTGGAAGCATGAACAGGAGGTTGTAGTTCAGACTTACCTAGACATAAATTTGAGAAATAACAAAAGCAAAAAGAGCTGGGGACTTGGCTCAAGTAGTAGAACATCTGCCCAGCAAGTACAAGGCCCTAAGTTCAAACCCCCGTACTGCCAAAGGGACCAAAAAGTAAAGACAATGGGTAAGAATTTCTTACCTCTATAAGATTAATGTCACTTAAAAAATTAGTAAATGTCAGGAAAATGTCCCTACCCCAATGCTTCTAAAAAACTTCTTATAAAGTGTACATAAAACTGAGAACAGCCTGATAGAAAATGTACTCATTACCTTGCTCATGTAACTGTAACCCCTCTGAACAGTATCTTTACAATAAAAAATGTATTAAAAAAAAAAAACACAAAACTGAGAACAGACCAATCAGAAGTACTTCAAGAACCTCAGTGCCTCTTCTGTTAAGAAGTGACATGAGAGGAGAGAGATTTTCAAATACCATAATTCATTTTAATACTGACTTATCCCTACAGGTGTTTTATATACATATGTATGTGTATATTACATATACAATATATAATATATACATATATAATTTGAATGAATGGCATTTAGTTAGTGAAGGAAGAAAATTATTCAGGTGCTAAAATTAAAGTACCAGAAGACTTTCTTTGTACTACATCTGTGCGTCCTTGTTTGTGTCTGTGTTTCCTGGCTCATTGTGATGTCATTAGCATTCTTATAGTAATTGGGCATCTTTTTTTTCAATGGGAAACTCTTTAAATTAAAATTTGCCATGTTCCTGTCTTGAACTTTATTCCTGTGGGCTGAGCTGTGGGAGAGCTTGAAGTCTATCGGCCACAGCTCCTCATGCCATCGTAGCTGTGCAGCCTAAACCAAAAACCTGCTACATTTGGTGTCTCTGTAGGATGGGCAAATGTTCCTGTGTTAAATGATGCTGAGAAAACGAGTCTGGGCCTCATTACCTGTAGAGGCCCTGTCCTTCCCAGAAAGGCCTTGTATGCAACAGACTTCAAACAGATAATGCCAGCAACCCTGTACTAGCTGAAAAGCACCAGCGATCTATTAGTATAGTAATCTTGCTGCTTGGGTGAACCAAGAGGAAACACCACTTGATTTAATTTGTTGTTTCAACAAGTCTATTACAGCCAATACCTTTTACCTAGTTACTCAGACAGAGATAAACATACTGTTACTTTAGTGTGCCTAAGAAAATATTCCTTTCCAATTGTTTGAATGGGAGGCCTGCAATACAGCTGAGCTCCTGTTGCGTTGTGCTTTGCAGCTTAGCCGCAGCAATTATAATAAAGAGATTGGATTTAAAAAAAAAAAAGTACCCATATAAAGCACTAGCATTAGGATAGCTCAAGTAAAATGTCAGAATCAAAGTCCTCCAACTTGTTCTTACCTGTTCACTTAGTTTTCTTCCTCTTGGTGCATTTATCCAGCATGCATCTGAAGGTGTGGAGGAATTGCTAAGCCAACCATCTCTTGCCAACATGAAGTCTAAACGTCCACCTTCTTCTTCAATAGCCTATTGTACAAAATTAGACAAAGACAAGAATTAATGTTTCCAGCCTACACTCTTCAGCCCAAAATCCAATTAGTGAAACAAAACTACTGTGCAGAAAAGTATTTTTAAATCACTTTAGGATTCGCTACAATTAAATTATATTTGTTCTCCTTAAATAAAAGCTATGGCACTTTATAGGCCATAAAATGCCTTATCTATCCATTACGTAAAAATACATCTTTTTATTGCTCTGGCAAAGTTATGGAGTGATATATAGAATAATTTCATGTACAATAAGCATTTTTAATCAAAATTACTTAGAAAATTGAGGTATTTGTTTCAAAGCCCTAGACTATTACTGTTATATGAAATACCAGGTTATGACATTACATAGTAAGTTAGTACTTATAGTATTGAAATAGCATAGGTAAATGAAGAATAAAGCAGTCCTACTAACAATAAAGTATGGACGGTTTGTTTAGGACTTTTTGACGTCCATGTTTATCTTAAGTATATGGAAGGTTGGCTGCCTTTTGGTCATAGCATTGAAATACTAACCTTTCTTTGTGGAAGGTTTTGGGGTTTTTGTTTTATTTTTTATTATTGGAAATAGTATCTCATGAATGATGGCCAAATGCTCTACCACTGAGCTATACCTGTCTCAAACCCTGAGTAATTTCTTTGTGACAGACATGACCTAACACACCAAATTATTCACATTGCTATCTTGATTTCCTTAAGGAAGAAAAAGTGACTTTAAAAACAAATTAGAAACTTAAAAAAAAACCCAGTCAATTGTCTAGTTCGTAAAACTTCAGGTCATTTAATGGAGCCGACTTCGGCCTCAGAGAGACTGTGTTAGCCTGAATTTTCTCCCTAGACTTTTGCTTTGTGGTGTGGCACATAGTGGTTTTGATTTCCTGAACTCCCCTGGCAGCAATATCAAAGAGAGTGCTAACTCCTGGCATAGGTAGCCATGATGGTGGGACTTGATCTGGATTTATCAGTCCTTTGAAGACCTGTAGTGCCAGGTGACTCTTCCCATTGCTTGCTCCTATCCAGTGCCGTCTTTTGTGTCACATGTCTAGGTCTTTTGTTGCAGTGTTTGCAAGCTTTTGTCTGTTCAGGCATCATCAGTCTTGGTCCAATAATGTGTTCATCTTAGCAGCATTGCATCCTTTATCAGTGAAATAAAGTCTCTTCCTCTCCCCTCTCTGCAGTTCCAGATTACCAGGAACAAGACATCTTCCTCTGGAGAAAGGAGACTGGATTCGGCTTTAGGATTTTGGGTGGAAATGAGCCAGGGGAACCTGTAAGTCTTTCATCTATGTCTCTCCCCAGCATTGTGTACTAAGACTTCACAGCAATTGACGACAGAGGTAGATTGTCAAGATTGGAATCCAGCTAGATGCTTCTGTCGCTCTGTCCTCTTGAGCAGTGGGGGGCTTTTCATTGGCTTGTAGAAGAAGGAAAGAGAGGTTTTGTAAAGATTATATAACTGCTTTCGGAGCTTCAGCCTCTTCAAACCCTTACTAGGGACAAGGAAATGGAAGGCATATAGGATAGGTGTCAGCTAGTAGATCAATGGCCTGATCCGTTTGGCTAATTCTGTTTCATCTACCAAAAGTTATGGGCTTGGTATATGGAGTGGCTAGTACAGATAATACTTCAAGCATCAGGCAACAGGAAAGATTTGAGAAGTTAAGACTCCTGTCCACAAAAAAAAAAAAGAAAAGAATTCAGAAGGGCCAAAAAGTAGAGTTCCTGACCAGGTCACTTTCCTTAATTAAAGAATAAACTCAGTATAACATTGCAAGGGTTCCTTTGAAAAGAGCAAAGAGAACTGAAGGATAGTTGATTCCCTTGTGATAATAATGCTGTTGTGCACTCGGTTCCAGGCACTGTGAGAAAGGTTTATAACGTAGATTGACTTACGAAATATCTGTTTATCCTCATGTTTTAATCAGAAAATGAAGGCACGGAAAGAGTAACAAACCCAAGAACACCCAGCTTGTAAACAGAAGCATAGTAAGACTCCCAACTCCAGTTCATATTCCTAGACAGTACTTTCACAAAGTTCCCTGTAAACTGTGAGTGTCATACAAAGGTGATCATAGCACTGGTGTCTACTGAGAAGACAATGCACACACAAATATTTAAGGTGATGCTTAACGAATGACAGATATAGCAGCAGACGCTAAATACAGAGACTTTCTCTGCTGGCAGACATTACAGACTGCAGAAATGAGGATGACAGGCTAGATGTTGTTTCAATCATTCATTCACTTAATAATCATTACTGAGTCTGCCCTATTGCCAGGCATAGGAACTCTCAAAGAAAAGTAATATTAAGCTGGGCATGATAGTTCACACCTGTAATCCCACCCATGTAGGAGGTAGTGGATGGAAGATTGAGTTTAAGGCCAGCTTAAGCCAAAATGTCAGTGAGACCCTATCTCAAACAATAAGCTGGTGGTGGTGCTTACCTGTAATCCTAGCTGTGCAGGAGCAGAGAGAGGATCACAATCTGAGGCTAGCCTCCTGGGCAAAAACCCAAGACACTACCTGAAAAATAAGGTAAAGCAAAAATGGCTGTGGGTGTGTGGCTCTAGTGATAGAGTGCTTGATTAGCAAGAGCAAGGCCCTGAGTTCAATTCCCACTGCTACAGAAAGACAAGAAAGAAAGAAGAAAGGAAGGAAGAAAGAAAGAAAGGACGTAAGGAAGGAAGAAAGAAAGAAAGAAAGGACGGAAGGAAGGAGAGAGAAAGAGAAAGAGAAAAAAAGGAAAAAAAATTAGTATTATAATTAGCAGAATTTATTGGAAGGAAGTTTCTTAAGTAGAGAGACAAGGAGACATAGTCTTAAAAGATTCTTTTCATTCAGGCATCAATGGCTCATGCCTGTAATCCTAAGTACTCAGAAGGCTGAGATCTGGGAGTTGTGGATCAAAGCCAGCCTGGGCAGGAAGTCAGAGACTCTTGTCTCCAATTAGCCACCAAAAAACCAAAAGTGGAGCTGTGGCTTAAGTGGTAGGCTCGAGTCCTTGAGAAGAAAAGCTCAGGAACAGCACCCAAGCACTGAGTTTAAGCCGTAGGACCAGCACCCAAAAAAAGGAAAAAGAGAAAAATATTCTTTTCTGAAAGTGAGTGATCAGTGTACGACAGATAAACATCAAGGAATCGAGTAAGCAAAAGCTATTCTTTCCATTGTGCACAGTGCCTTGTACACAGTGGGTGTTCAATAAATGTCTGTGGCATGCATGCAGACATGAATAAATGAACAGAATTGTTCCCAGAGATGCAAAGGCCATCAGAATAATAGTAAGCAAAGAGAGCCATGTTTCATCCATCATCCAATTACTCGACAGATTTATATTGGTCACATCGTACCACTGGGTGCTGCTGATACGGATGGCCGCCTGAGGTCTGGCGATGAATTAATCTGTGTGGATGGGACACCAGTAATTGGAAAATCACACCAGCTTGTGGTCCAGCTTATGCAACAAGCTGCCAAGCAAGGCCATGTCAATCTCACAGTACGACGTAAAGTGGTGTTTGCCGGTATGTTTCTCCTTCATTCCTTCAGATGGGACTCTGTCACTTTGGTGCCTGCCTCCTCAAGCTTCTATTTTAGCAAATGTTTGCAAATGTGATCAAGCTCGGTATTTCCAGATGGTTCCCTTCTCTCCAACCCTGCAAAACGGCTGTCATTCAAAAGCACTTTAATGTGCCATTTGCATGGGTTCAGGAAAGGCTTGTAAGGAAAAGACTGGTTGAATTTATATTACCTGCCTCCCATCCCTTTGCCACGCAGAACTCAGCCATCCTCAACATCCAATACTAATCCTTCACAAAAGAGCTCATTAGGAATGTCACAAAAGTGACTTAAATTAAGAGAACAAAAATTAGGTTTGTATTGAAAGATGCGTTCATGGAAAAAAAAAAAAGATTGATGTTTTTGAACCCTGCCATTGCTTGTCAGGTATGTTAAACCAAACATTTCCCTCTACAAGAAAGCAGTGGGCTAGGCACTGGTGACTCATGCCTGTTGTAATCCTAGCTACTCAGGCGGCTGAGATCTGAGGATAAAAGCTCAAAGGCAGCCTATGCAGAAAAGTCTGTGAGACTCTTATCTCCAACTGTCTAGCAAAAAAAAAAAAAAATAGATGTGTGGCTCAAGTAGTAGAGCACTAGCTTTGAGTAAAAATGCCAAGCAAGTGCATGAGGCTCAGAGTATCAAGAGAAGGAAGAAGGGAAAGAAGAAGGGTAAGTGGGAGAGAGGGGGAAAGGAAGAAAAAAGAGCTGGTTAGTTTTAGGTTATCTCTATCCCCTGTAACAAACATCACACTCTAGCTCTCAAAATGTGATGTGTCCTATCAGGTGTAGCTCCCACGTGCCTCTTTGGATGCCTTAGACTTTAGAATTCTCCTTGCCATTCTCCTGACTCTTGTTTATTTCTGCATCAGAATCTGCCATTTACTCCTGCTCAGCATGTCCACACCTGTCCTTTCACTCACTGACCAGCTTCCTGAGAACATACACCTTAACCATTCGCCCTTGTGTGTAGCCCCGCCATAAGCCTGTAAGCCAGAATCCAGGTGCAGAAGAGCAAGAGGAAGTGCTGTGTCCATTGTGTTACTGAAAAAATATGATAAGAAATATTGTGAATTCTCCATAGCACTAATGTTAGGGTAACAAATTCCAAACAGATAAAAAAAATTGGTATCGTGTTTATTTTTTAAAAATATAACTAATTTAAGCAGTCTGTAGTTAATTACAGAATTAAGATATTAAATCCCAGTATGAGAGTTCCACCTGGTGTAACCATGGAAAATATTGCTAATCCACTACAGATGTCATAGGTCACACCTGGGTGACCTCTCATTTAACATACGATTCACAGCCAGTGACAGTCAGCTAAACTTGGTTTTTGCAATATGTTGTAAACGGTTTAATTTCCCCGACTCCAATAAAAATTAATAAGGCAGTGTCATTATTTTTATTTGCTTCGGTTTTAGTTTGAAAATGAAATCTACGCTTGTAGATTTTTAGCCTGTGCATAAAGGCATGTTAAATCTGTGCACAGGCATTATGCTAAGCAAAGTCAGATCATCACAGGTGCACAGGTGTTGCATGATTCCACTCTGAAGAGTTTTCCAGAGTAGTGGATTTTATGTAGGAAAATGGGTAGAATAGTGGATATGGGGAGGGATGGTACAAAAGAGAGTGAGGAGAGAGTTTCTGGTGAAGAAGATGTCCAGGTTCTACAAATGGATGGTGATGACATTTGCAAAGCAGTGTGGATGCGTTGACACCACTTAATTGTGCATTGAAAAAATGGCTGAAATAGAAAATCTTATGTTATCCCATATTTTTCCATCATAAAAATATCTATGAAAGGAGAAACAATGGGAAATGAATAAAAACAGACCTTTCCACAGCTTGGACATGATTAGTCCCATCTCCTCTGGTGAACTGTTAAGAGTGCTTTATCCTTTCAGTGACAAAGCCATAAAACTGGAATGGCGATTAAGTTTGCAAGGAGGCCGAAGCCTCCAGTTCTTAAGTGCTGACATCTGGAAGCTAGAGAGAGAAACTGGGTGCTTCTTACAGGTGTCACAAATCCCACCACTGCGAACCTTCAAGGCGCAGTTAAATTCCAGTCTCCTGTCTGGAAGAAAGAGTAGAAATGTGGCTGCGAGGCGATGACAACAGAGGGGTGGTTCAGGCCGTCTGTGAAGCTGGGGTGGTGGCTGTCATTGGCATCGGCCCTTCTGTGCCTTGGGTACCTTCCCATGTGTGCCACAGGTCCTTATCTCCCTGTGAGCAGGCCCTGCTGCATATTGGGTCTGGGTGTGCATGTGTACACAGTGTGGAGTCCACTGTGGTGTTTACCTGGGTGGGTGTTCCCTGACTCTGAATCATTGATATTTCCCCTGCATCCCATTCCTGTGAGGCCCAGGTACCATCATCCCTTCTTGATTTCTCTGTGTGTGTGTGTGTGTGTGTGTGTGTGTGTGTGTGTGTGTGTGTGTGTGTGTGTGTGTGTGTGTGTGTGTGTGTGTGTGTGTGATGTCAGTGCTGGGGCTAAAGCTCATGGGGTTTGTCTTGTTTTGTTCCTTTTTTTCTGATGGCTGTCTCTCCACCACTTGAGCCATATAGTTCCACTTCTGGCTTTTTTTCTGGTTACTTGGAGACAAGAGCCTCACCCACTTTCCTGCCCAGGCTGCCTTTGAACCCCAGTTCTCAGACCTTAGCCTCCCAAGGAGCCAGGATTTCAGGCGTGGGCCACTGGCTCCGGGCCCCTCTTGGTTTCTGCCAGGTCACAGAGGGGAGGAACGTAGACAGGGGGTGCACCATGCGCTCGGGGGGCCCCGAGGTCCAGTGTTTTACACGAGCGTCTCCCTTGCAGTGCCCAAAGCGGAGAACGAGGTGCCCTCGCCCGCCTCCTCCCACCACAGCAGCACGCAGCCCGCGTCCCTGACCGAGGAGAAGCGCACGCCGCAGGGCAGCCAGAACTCGCTGAACACGGTGAGCTCGGGCAGCGGCAGCACCAGCGGCATCGGCAGCGGGGGCGGCGGGGGCAGCGGCGTGGTCAGCACCGTGGTCAGCACCGTGGTCAGCACCGTGGTGCAGCCCTATGACGTGGAGATCCGGCGTGGGGAGAACGAGGGCTTCGGCTTCGTCATCGTGTCCTCGGTGAGCAGGCCCGAAGCAGGCACGACCTTCGGTGAGTCTGCAAGAGAACCGCCCGGCTCCCCGCGCTACCAGGGCGCGGGCCCTGGGCCAAGAGAACCCTGCCAAGATCTCATTAGCAGGAAAGCTTGGGGTTTTCCCTTTCTTTTCTTTTCTTTTTTTGCTTTGGGTAATTAAAGTCTTCATTAGGGATGAGATTCATTTGGTAGTTGTTGGTTTTTTGTTTTCTTTCTTTTTTTTTTTTTAATTCTGAAGGCTGAGATGTTGTGTGTGTGTGTTGAACCCTTTCAAGCTTCATTTTGCAACACGAGCATGTGTGAAATTTGGGTATGATTTGAATCGCAATCCCAAGGCAACAACTTGGGGGCTTGAACTCAGCGCCTGATGTTCTTGCTTGCCTCTTTTGCTCAATAGTGGTACTCTACCACTTGAGCCACAACTCTACTTTCAGCCTTTTGCAGGTTTATTGGAGATTAGACTCTCCCAGGATTTGTCTATCCAGGCTGACTTTGAACCATGACTCTCACAGTTCAACCTCCTGAGTAAGTGGGATTGCAGGCATGAGCTACCTGCGAAGTCTCTGACATTCTTGTTGGAGAAAGACTCTCCAGAAAGGAGCAAAAGGTTCTAAAAATTCCCAGGACAAAACATGTGCTAAGGAGGAAAATACCACCAGGAAAGCTCATCCTGCCTGGACAGTGTCCTTTCTCTGTCCCTGTCTGAATTTTTTTTAAGTGATATTTTTATTGTTGCTTAAGGATCTGGTTAAAATCTGGGTTGAGAACCATTTCATCACAGATCTCATCCATATGTTGAGGCTTTGAGCCAAGAATGGAGAGGCAGAGTTGTCATCCTTTCCATAGCTTAACTCCACTAGGGTATATGAGCAAAAACCAAATGGCAACAGCCCAGATGACTGAGAGCTAGCCACAGGAGAATGCTGTAACAATGAACTATGGATGTATGTGCCCAGAGTGAGCTACTGCCTTCCTGGTTGGATAAAGTCATCTCCCAAGTATGTTCATTCATGGGAGGAGAAGGGCCCCACAGGCTTCCATATTCATCAAATGACTTGACCATAGAGAGTTTGATGACCAATGGCCTAGATTCTTCCCCTCTCTTCCCCTTGGCTAAGCTTAGCAAGGTGCTCAATCTTTTCAGGGTTCTGACCTAGTAGAACCCACTCTGTCTCCATTTAGTTTTGGTATGTTGCTACAGGTTAAAGCTGTCTTCCCCCTAAGTTTTGTGTTTAGAAAGGGACGTTTAGCCAGGTCTATGCATGTATGGCTGCAGTAACAAATGCCCATTACTAACCATGCTTTTGGGAGCTACATTAAAAAGTCATCACAGCATGTCATGGATGGATGACACCAAGGCAAGATTTTGCTTTTTAATTAATTTCACAGACTTTTCTGCTTACTTTAAAATAAGGAGAAAGGAAGTCATGGGAGGGAGAGATCCCAACTTGCTTTGTTGTTGTTGTTGTGTATTTTTTCTTTTCTTTTTTGTTATCTCCATATACCCTGTGATGCTCTTGGCCATTTCAGAATTCTCCCTTTCCATTTCTAGAAAGAAAGCAGGCATGTGAGGTGACAGGCTATGTGTTATATAATGAATATTGAATGTTCTCACTCACAGTTTGGTCTTTCATTGGTTTCCTTTGGTTCTTAAAATCACCAAATAAATTTTCCCTAATACCTTGCATGAGACTCTGAGCTATGCAAAGCCTCCTTCATATCTCTATTATTCCTTTCTCATGCAAGTTGTCCTTGCCAATGAGCTAGATAAACTTAATCAAGACTTTGAATTCTAATATGCACACTACCAACGTATTCTTGTTGTTGGATTCTAATAAACAGTATGTAGTCTTTGTTAAAAATTCTCTGACATTGACATTACATCTAATGACAAATCCTCAGGCAAGTCTGCTGAAATTCAAAGGAAGGAAAAATACACTTGCTGACAGAGTTTAACCTTCATGTCTAAATTATAGTAGAAGAGCCTACACAGTTGATCTCATTGTCTTCTGTGTTACTTTCACCACCTTTTCCAAAAGGTGTCCGAACTACCTGTCTTCCTACTTCCTAGAAAGACAAATTCTCAAAATGGAATGTGTATAAGAAACTCCATTTCAGTCCTCAAAGCGAATTCCTCACCTTTCTCTAAGTGACAAGGGGGTTTTCAAGTGGGCTATAGACTGGCCTCAAATGCCCTTTCCCTGATATTTTATATTATAAATATGTACCAAATAGTGGTTAACAAGGAAATGATGTAAGTTGAGAAATGGCCTGAGTCTGGCACTGGGCCCATGTCCTCAACCTGAGTAGTTACTAAATTATCATATTCCTTTGAGTTTTGGTCCCTTTTGGCGGGGGAGGAGGAGGGGGAGAGGTATGAGCCAAGGGGTAATTTCAAAGCTAATGAGCCCATGAAAGAGGGGGCTACCCTGAAGGCATATGCGATGGACTTACTGAATAAAGGAACCCTAAAGTGCCAAGGTTGAGAGATTCCTTGGCTTATTTCTCATGGTTAAGGTCCTTTTTCTAAAGCTTTCAGCATTCCAAAGAGGAGGCAGAAAGTGGTGGCCCATTAGGTGTCTTCAGATTGAACGACTGATGCTAGCAAACTCTTAGGCCTTGCCAGAAGCTCAGTGATTATTTTTCTAAATGGAGAAAGAACAAAACATTGGCAAAAGCTTAAGCCACAGCTGGCAAGAATGAAGTAACACGAACCCCGCCATGAGCAGATGCCTCCATGCCAGCCCTGGGTCTTATACTTGCAGTCTGCAAATAAGCCACCCACCAATCATATTGGTGCTTTTCAAGACCTTCTGAAGTTGCCAAACAACCCAAATTTGTTATCCTTTTAAAGAGGGAAGGAGAGGGGTCTTCCCCTAATTTGAAATCAGAAAAGGACTGCAGACATGAGCCCTACTTTTAGGCCCATTGCTTCTTACACCCTGATAATTGCCAATGTTTTGACCATCGGCTCAGAGCTCTCCTTTAATAACATTTGCTTAATGCTTTAATTAATTAACACTTAACCTTCTCTTTCCCTTTTCAACCCTTTTTCTCCTCCCTTCACTATATTCCCACGTAACTTAAAAAAAAAATTAAAACTCAATATCAAAGCAGGCAATGCATGTGTGGCTATGCCTCACAAAATAGGTCGGATTATTGAGGGGAGCCCTGCTGACCGCTGTGGCAAGCTGAAAGTAGGAGACCGGATCTTGGCAGTAAATGGATGTTCCATCACCAACAAATCCCATTCAGACATTGTCAACCTAATCAAGGAAGCGGGAAACACAGTTACCCTCCGCATCATTCCTGGGGATGGTAAAGTATACCTATTTTCTCTTCTCTCTTCTCTTCTCTTTTCTCTCTTCTCTCTTCCCTTCTCTTCCCGTCCCTCTTCTCCTCTCCATTCTTCTCCTCTCCTCTCCTCTCCTCTCCTCTCCCTTCCTCTCCCCTCTTCTCCCCTCTTCTTCTCCCTCCTTCTCTTCTCTTCCCTTCTCTTCTCTTCTCTTCCCCTCTCTTCTCTTCCCTTCCCTTCCCTTTTTCTTCTCCTCCTCTTTTCCTTCTCCTCCCCCTCCTCCTTTTTTCTCTTCCTCCTCCTTCTCCCCGTTCTCTCTTTGTCTCTTTTTCTCTCATTGCTGTTCATGTAATTAAGTGTTGTTGATTTAGAGGCAGCTTTATCCATCCCTAACTGAACATACTCATTGGGACAAACATGAGCCATGGCTACTAAACCATTCCTCACCTTCTTATCTCATTAATCGTCTAGCTTGTGATCTTGTCTGGCTGTAAATATAAGAAATCATGAACTTTCCCCAGTTTATTTATTTATTTTTGCCATTCTTGCCTTTAAAACAATAGTTTGCAAACAAGTAGTAAAGATCCCCTTTTGTTCTCAATGGGAATCGTTAGTATTTGTTTCGGTTTTTTTGTACAATCACTGGAATTTAATTAGATAATTGGTGACATTACAAAACAGAACTATATATATTTTTCTTTCGAGCAAGTGAATGTCAAAATTTTTTATGTAATGAGAGAATCTGAAGGTTTGTGCCTACTTGATTTTTTCCTAATTTTTGAATGTGGTTGAAAAATAAATGTCTATAGTTTGATAGATTGCAATACACTAAACTGAACTATTCCTATTTGCTTGTTTTGTTAAATTCAAATCTTTGGTTCTTTTATCTCTGTGGTGAATCTGCCACCAGGGGAGATTTGGCAGTGTCTATATTGGATGGTGAGTGTCATCTACTGGGTGAAGGCTAGGAATATTCCAGATGTCCTCCTGTGCATAAAACAGCCCCCAGAAGCAGAGGTGTCCAATACTAGTCTAGTGTTCATCTTATTATTCAGACCTTGTAAAAATGAGGCTGATATGCTAATAATTTATAATTATGGACTGGTTGTAGACTTACATTCAGAATATTGACCTCATTCTAAGCCAGCTTTGTCAATGGGAAAAAAGTAATATTTGTCCCAAAATGTTGAACTGCCTTTTTTTTATTCTTCCCATACATGTTACAAGATAAAATACATATTCTAAAAGTCAATGAGTATTTTTCAAGAGAAAATTGTGGTTTACTTAGTGTGATATTCTATACCATAGATTTGTAAAATAAGAAAAGTCATTCACCAAATAACTTTTTTTGTATACTAGTAATTGAAAATAGCCTCAGGATTCAAAATTTGAGTGATTTTGCTACAGCTTACCTAAAAAAAGTAAATGTGAAACCAAATAATATATGTTTGAAAACTGCTAGTTCAAAGAACAGAGAGCTTTCTCAGTGCCAAAAATACCCCATGCCAAATGTGAAATGCAGAAATAGCTCCTTGAATGATAGTCTACTTCACCCTCTTCTTAATGCGTGGTTAGTAATTTGCCATCTGGTGTGGAGGCCATTCCATCAATTCATCATTGTGGAAAAAGCCACCACAATTGACAAAAGTCATGCCAAGATGAGAGAGCATAGATTCCTAATAGGAAGAAAGGGAAAAGCCAGAAAAAACAAAGTAAAAATGGTTCAGAAAGCCATAGGTAGTGTGTAACTTTCACTGTATTTATCTACATGCTGTGGCGATAAGGAAGTGTTAAAAGAGGTGGAGAGATGATGAAAAGATGAATGCAAGAAAACTGGACCCAGGAATTGACTTGCTAAGTTAATATTGGGCAGCCTGGCTGCCGTAGTGAGAATATCTCAGAAGGGAAAGGAGGAAAGAAAGCACTGTCAGGAAAAAGGACCTAGAAAGAGCTTTGAGTCAGGGAAGACTACATATACACAAACACAAACAACTTCTACAATGACCTTATTAGCTGTTGACTTTGTAGTATACAGTCAAATTCTTGAGAACATAAACACCAAAAAGTATAAAGCACAGTGGATTATCTACTAGCAGTTGGCAATTAAAAGGCATTTTTAAATCTTGAGTATTTAGATATAAAATACCTACATGGGATTTTAAAAAAAACAGTAAACATAAAATTGACCAAAGGATTGAAACTTTCTTAAGGCATGCTTGTTTTTCTGAGGATGTGATTTCATGTAAGATGATCCAGGAAATCATTGCCATAATAATAAAAGTCTTCACCAGTGACTTTGGTAAACACCTAGGAGACAGTCCATTTCCTCAGTGTGATGTATGTTAGACTTGATACTTCAGGCTGAAGGGAGCTGTTCTCTGGCTTCTTCACATCTTTTATTCTAATATTTACTTATCAAGTAGCCCAAAGACCACTTGTTTATGGTCTCTGCAAGAAAGCTGAGGTTCATAATCAAAGTGACTCTAAACTCTCCGAGGTCCCCCATGGCTGGGGTCCTGTCCTTGGAAACCCTAAGAGGAATTACAAGATGATTCACCTTTCTTTGGACAATGCTTAGAACCCTGTCTGAATCTATTCGGGGGTTGTTTTGTTTGCGTGTTCACTTGTTTTTTGTAGATAAAAACACTGTATGGTTTAAACTGGCCTCAAACTCATGATCCTCCTGCCTCAGCTTCTTGAGTGTTGGGACTACAGGTGTGCACCACACTGAATCTATTTCTGTAGTTCATGCCACTTCTGTTTCTTGTGGTTGGGTGCCTTATTCTTTGTCTAGTTTCCCTTATCTTCATCTTTAGTTTCTATCAACTTTTCTATCAACTTCTTCACTAAAACTCCAAAGCATAACTTTACCCTTTTATTATACATTATGCTGTTGTTGGAAGACCTATCTTAGATAGGCCAAGATGAGGGGAGTCCTTATCTCTCTATACTGTATACATCCAAGGTCAGAGTGGGAAGTGGGATGAGACAGACATTTTTTTCCCATGGTATATGAGCAGGGAATAGTAAATCTATAATGGCAGCAGAGAAAGGCTACAGAATACTGACTCTGACCTTCTCCTTTGACAAGTGAAACCATATGAGCATTGTATGGTAATGTCTCAACTTTCTAAGTGAGAGTAAGACTTTAATCAGAGCAGAACTGGACTAAGACTATAGTATGAAGCTAACGGCTTCAAACTATACTATTGAAATTCTGGCCTTAAATTTGTACTTTGTTCACTCTGATTCAGTTTTCACTAATGAGAGAGAGAGTTGGGTAACACAGATACTAGGCAAAGCCATAGAATAGTAAAAAGTCTCATCTCCCAAAACCTTTCACATATTTATGGATTCAGATTCTTCAATGTTGTTTTCAGGTATTTATTACATATATGTTTATACATTGAAATATTTATGAAAGAAGTGATTGTATCCTTTGTTGATATATTTGGCTTTTCAGTGTACATTCCATCCTCCAGTAAGGAGGCAGACACAGGAGCAAGATTAGAATGGCAATCACATGTTGCAGAGATAGGTAGAAACGTCAGGTAGAAACTCCTGTCAAAACAGTAAGTGGCCTGATTTAGAACAGCCTTGTGACAGTGCCTGGAGTGCTCTGACTGGCTTTTCTTAATATGTGATCACTGAGGAAAGTGTCAGAATATCCATTTTCATTCCTTTAGAAGCACTGAAGAAGATATAAGAACTATTTAGTAAGGATGTAGGGTATTTTCTGGAATTTGTCATAAAAATATCCAACCTGTCCATCTGCCTTGGAATTGAAAAACTCCAATTCATGCCCTTATAGTATTGCTACCGGAAGGCAAGGAGACACAGTCTCCTGTTTCTGGCCTGCTTAAGGCCCCTTGTAGACATTTTTTCTATTATTCAAGGCAAACTTTGCTTTGGGAGAGAGCTCTAAATTCTTAATAATGGGCTTTATCTCTGTTTTTAAAAGCTAGCATTTCAGCAGATACAATCCTGGCTTAGTTCCAAATGAAGACTCACATATTTATAAAAACAAGTATAACTTTATCGATATTATAAAAGCATACTGGAAATAGAGAGCATGCTAAAAATTCTTTCAGTGCTCTGAGGATGGACTATAAAATCCAGTAGGCAAAGCAGGGTATTTTGTATTTCAAACTAATCTCTGATACTACATAGTGAAGGTGATAGTGCTTATGTAATAAAATAAAAAATGCTTAAAATAAGGCATGATTTTCTTCATACAAAGACATAGGGGCTGTCAGTAGCATCAGACTAGAAGTAAATTGTTAGGCCCTAAATTTGAATCCTGCATCTTCACTTTCTCCCTGGGTGACACTGAACACATTATTTTCCTTTTCTGTGTCTCCATCTGTAAACTGGGGCTGTTAACTATACCCATCTTCTTGAGTGGTAAGAATGAAATGGAGTAATGCATATCATAATGGGCACTGTGTGCTTGGCTCCCTGTGAGTCACAAGCAAAACAACAAAATGAGGAAAAGTCATTGAGCTTGAATACAAAACTCAGTATTAGATGTTACTATGAAAAAAGATGCTTAGAGTTAAGCACCAGTCTCCAAAACATTTGCATGTAAATATACCTGGGAAGCGTAGAAAAGGAAAAAAAAAATCAGTTAAATGCATTCTGCTTATCTATATATCTATCCAGTGATTTATCTGTCATCAAATTACTAAAGTAGCAGGCAAATGGAAATTAAATGTTTGAGAATGAGATCTGATCTGCCTAGAAAACTCTGGCTACCAATAACACACACACACACACACACACACACACACACACACACACACACACACACACACACACACACACACACACACACACACACACACACACACACACACACACACACACACACACACACACACCCTCTAAAGGGGAACCTCTGTCTACTTTAGTAATTATAATCACCTTAATTACAAGAAACCTTTTTGGTATGCTGGTTATGATTTCTCCGAAGTCCAAACGATCTTGTGATTTCCCAGTGAGGTTCCATCAAATAAATTGCAGTGAGCACAATGAAGTTTGTTGAAGGACCAGTGCCTGTGTTTTTGAAGAGTCATGTGGCTGGCTGTGCAGTGTGTTTATCCTGTATATGGACACAGAGAACATACTTTATAAAATGTCACTTGTAGTTATCACCCTGCTTCTGCCAGTTCATTGGTCCAGGATAGGAGTCATATGAAGACATTAGTGTCCCTCCAAAGGTTCTGAAAAAAGTATGATGATAGTAATAAAAATCTATTAATAATTGCCTTTAATAATAATAATAATACCAAAGACATGCTAAGCATTTTTGAGCAATGTTTATGTATCAGTTGCTATCCTAAACACTTTCCTATTAGATTATCTTCACACCAGTTTCCTTAAAGACCCCTTGTGCATTTGAGGAAAGTGAGGCACAGGAAGTGTAAGTAGCTTTAAAACTTAAATTGCAGAGGTTTGGATGCACTGCAAGATGGTCTGAATTCATTGTCTGACCTAGAAACGAGAGGCCAATCTGCCTTCATAAGCTTAAGAAGCACACACACACACACACACACACACACACACACACCATCTTGCCTCAGAGTACACATTGGCCCAGTATGGCTCTGAGGGGTTCACAGAAAGAATAACTGACACTGATGGAAATCTTCCCCTATGGTTTACCCATTAGTTCCCAAACTTAATTGACCACAGGTTCTTTTTCCTCAAAAGTGCTGAAATCAATTGGTATAAAAGATTGTGAGGCATATTATCTTAAAATATAAGTAGGTTTTCCAAAAATGAATCACTAGGTGTTACTGATTTTGTAACCCTGGTTATAAGAATAATGGGCTTTTATAGCTGGAATAGAAACTGTTAAAATCCTATTTTTCTCATTTAGGAAGGAATTTAAATCACTTAAAGAAATTCCTATAGTAATAAATGAAAAATCACAGTAATAGCAAGAACAATGGGAACTGAGTCATTAATAGAAGTCAGGCACTCTGCTGAACACTTCACATCATTTTATCCAGAAGAAGGAATGTTTTGTCATTATCTCTTTTACTAAGTGGGAATAAAAGACATATAGCTAATGAGTAGGGAAAAGGGGAGTTTGAATCTGGTTCTGAAATTCAAACCCACACTTTTACCTATGTAATGGATTAAAAGAAAAGGAAGCCAGACCCAAGCTGAATTAATAACCTTAGGAAATTCAAAATGGTAGACTCCAAGCGTTTGAGAGGTGTGAGAAGTCTCCCAGGAATGCAGTGGAGAGAGATATATTCCAGGTTTCTCAGTCTGGAATACTTAAAATATTTCCCTGTAGAAACCTTCTCATGTCTGGAGGGTAGAAATATGTATTTAGCACACACTGAAGGGCTTATTGTGAATCACTGAACCCATGAGAACTTCAAGTCTTCAAGGTACACAGTATATTAAATGGACACATACAGGCTAATCTTAGAACCTAACCAGCACAGTGTTTTTATGAAAAGATGTACACCAAATTCCAAAGAGTTAGCTTAAAAATAAATATTAAAAGTATGATTTCTCCCAGTTGGCTCTCACCTGCCTTGATCTTAATGTAGAAATAATTAGTAAAAGAGCATGCTGTACTACATGAATGATTAAATTTTAACACATGAATGTCAGCACGCAGTCTATAGTTATACTCATGAGCGTTTTGGCTTCTGGATCCCTAAACTTGTAGAGATGAATGAAGTTGCCTTTAATTTTATGATTAGTGGAGAAGAAAGTCAATTTATATAGGAGTATAATCATATTCATCACCATAAGGTGGCTTTAGGGTTTATAAAACTTAAATTTACAAAATCTGATTCTTCTAATGCACATTTTTAAATTACTCTTTCCTGAGTGAGACTAGATGAGAGCTGCCCAAAGTTCCAGATTTTCAGTTGAGCTTCACTGAAAGCAATGGAGAATGAAGTGTATATTGTCTGGGTGTGTTTAACAAGATGTGAGCACACATCTGACTTTAATATTCACGTGAGCCAATCAAGCATCTTCACTAACCCCTGCAGATACTCTGCAGGGAATATTCGCAGAGACATTTATCATCTGCCTGAAAAATTCTGAAAGATCACACCAGTGAGGTCCCATGCTTGGATGGTATTCACAACTTCCACAGGGAGGAAAAGAGTAAGACACACCTGCATCGAGTATAATTTTAGAGCCTCAGTTTCTCTGGAAAATTGTTGCATTGTGGTTACATTATCTGGTGGGGAGAAATGTCATGGGGGCAGATATAGCCCCCATCAGCGAAAACATCACAATGTTTCATTGAACTCCTGCTTGTTTAGCACTTGGAGCCAGACTGTTTGAAATGAGGACAGAGAAGTCAGACTTGTCATATAGATCAGGGCTTCTGCATGCCTCCCACTTGAACCACATCTTCTCTAAGGCCTCATTTCTTTCTGCTCTATCCTGCAGAGTCTTCAAATGCCACCTTGTTGACCAATGCTGAGAAGATTGCCACCATCACCACCACACATGCCCCTTCTCAACAGGGGGCTCAGGAGGCAAGGTCAGATGTGGCTTGGGTTTCTCTCCTTAGTTTAAATGGGAATAAAATAACTCCCGGCCTGATAATACATATCTTTAATTCTTTCTCAGTTTCCTTTGGGTTGCTGTTATATTTATTTCTCTTAATTTGGCAGGAGTACCACCAAACCAAAGCCGGAATCACAGTTTGAGTTCAAAGCACCACAAGCTGCACAGGTAAGAGCCCTTTCTCCTTTCTATTAGTACACAGTGCTCATATCATTCCAGCTATCTAAAGCTATTTTTATCAGATAGTTCTTAAAAGGCATCTTTAAATTAAAATAACCTTTTGTGAGATGATTTACCAAGTATGTTCTTATATTTGATTGCCTAAGAAATGGCATTGGTATTTTACTTTCTTTGAAAAAAATAATCCCTTTAGATCCTTTTCTGGCTTGGGACACAGGGGGAAAAATAGAATTAATGGAAAACTGTCCTAAGGATCTGCTATCAGCGGAAAAGTGAAGCAGCTGATGTCTATTTGCTCAGTTTTATGAAACTGATTTCTTTCATGAGAATGTCAGTTTTCATATGGTGGTTTTTGGGTGAGACCCATAGAGGAAGGTATCTGTCCCTGAGGATGGTATTGGGGGCTGTACAGATAGATAAGAGCCAGATAACAAATTACATTGGGTGATGTAATGCCGTTTTTTTTTTAAACTGGCTTTGTGGGAGCCTTCAGTAGGCCATTCATAATTTTCCCTCACGGAAAGGGAACTGTTTCCCAGATTGTAGAGGTTGGTGTTGGACTCTCTAGCATTTATCAGGTATGGATCAAAGAAGCTGAATGTCTAGCAGTGAGTGAATTACATTGTGTAATGAAGTTTTCTATTCCAAATTTAAATCACATCCGCACTGATTGAATTTTAATACATATATGATATAGTACATATATGCACGTTTTCAACTTCTGAGATTAATAAACAATGAAAGAGTCATACAGTGAATGAATAGACAATGCCCATGTGTGATATCAACATCATAAACCTGTAATCCTAGCTACACAGGAGGCTGAGATCTGAGGACCATGGTTCAAAGGTAGCCCAGACAGGAAAGTCTATAAGACTTATCTTCAACTAGTCACCAAAAAAGCTTAAAGGTGGAGCTGTGGCTCAAGTGGTAGAGCACTAGCCTTGAGTTCAAGTCCCAGGACCAGTCCCCCTTATACCTTACACCTCCCCCCCCCCAAAAAAAAAAAGAAAAGAAGAAAGAAAAGATGCTGCTTGGGAAGAGCTGGAGAAAATATGTCTGATAGTTCTCCCAGAATGATTGCATCTCACTTTTTAAAACAGGAACAAGACTTTTACACTGTGGAACTGGAAAGAGGAGCCAAAGGATTTGGCTTTAGTCTTCGAGGGGGTCGAGAGTATAATATGGACCTCTATGTTCTGCGCTTGGCAGAAGATGGTCCAGCAGAAAGGTGTGGAAAGATGAGGGTAAGTTGGGAAAGGAGGCCTGAATTAATGTAAGTAAACCATTGGTAGTCACTTCTTGACATACATAGTAGACTGTTTGTGTTTTGAAACATTACATTTTTCTTTGGCTTTCAAGACACTCTATAAAGGCATTGTTTTCACCATTCCCTGTCTATTTTGTCCTAAAGCATAGCTAGTTATAGCCATTAAAAGTTAGGTGAAACTTTTTGAGTTGAGTGAGGTATTCAAATACTTACAAATGTGTTATATGTAGATGTTTTTTTCTTATTCACATTTCCATACTTCTTGTGGTTAATAGTGTGTGACAGACACATCACTTCATAAGAATTCTTGGGACTTACAAGATGCTTAAGGAGCAGGAAAGCTGAGTGGCCCTGTCGATTCTGGACTTTGAACTCCATTCATTCCCTATTTCAATCACTAGCTCTCCTCCCCAGGCCTAAGAGATTACAAATCCACCTGTTCCATAGCACAAGACAGGAGCAATTCCATGGCGTTGATATTCAGAATGCTCTGACAGTCAAAGCTACAGATTTTAAATAACACACATGCCAAAATTTCACTCTGCTCTGTTTAACTGTCTAGTATCTGTTACTATGGATGAATGTATCATTCTCCTGGGCAGAAGAGATGATTAGGGAGAGATAAATCAGCCACTCCCTGATAAGTCACATCGATGAAGGCATACACAAAGGGAACCATTTGCTATGAATTAAAAAAATTCAAGTCAGATCAAAAGGCACAAACTGACCAAGACCAATACTCTATTTGTAGTTAAGGCTCCACTTGGATTCTGGAGTTCTTCAGACTGGATTTTCACCAATTTTTCTGGATAAACAAGTAGAGCATGAGTGTGAGTTCAGAAAAATTAACTGAAAAAAAAGATACATAATTTCTAGGATCAAACCATACACCAGCTCCTTGTATGTCCTTCCTTCTTATATGTATGTGTACAATCTGTGCATGTACAAAGGCACAAAGATACACCGTGGTACATGCACATATTCCTTTCCTTTGAATTTTAATCACTTTTAAAAGTTCCTGTTTGAATGAAATAGAGTTGTCATGATATTTGGTTTAATGGCATACAGCTCACAGTGTAATTTCCCCAGTGTAATCCTTGTAGCATATTAGGTGTCGTGATGGAGTTCACAGTCTGTTCACAGCCTGTTCTACACAGGAAGAAGTGGAATCCAGGAAGTTGAAGCACTAAGCAAAGTCACTTAGTGAGCAAGAGATAAGATTCACCTTCATGGCTTTAGATTCTGAGCCAGTGCTTTTCCTCTTCTTTCTACTGGGATTTAAGCCCTATGTGAGCAGCCTTCTGGTCTGTTCTGTTTATTCTTTTTTGTGCAGTGCTGACGGTTGTGGCTGGCACCGAGTCAACCACCAGTGTGGTGGTCTCTTCTGACGGCTCATTCTAAATGGCTCCCATGGTCTTTAGAACTCATCTAGGATGCAGCCTGTGGGCTGCTGGCTGGAATCCTCTCTTGTTTTTCTTATCACAGGATTCCATAGAGTGTTATCACTACTGTAGAACATACCTGAGAAAATGAACTTGAACTTCAGAAGTTTCAGCTATGTTCAGTTAGGACCATGTTTTAGGCCTGTGGCAAAGCAGAACATAATGATGGGGGGGGTGCAACGCTGTTCCCCTTAGGTGGCCAGGAAACTACAGACAGAGAGTCCCAATATCCTTTAAAAAGTACACCCCCAGTGATGTAACTTCCTTCTATTGCACCCCTTCAAGTTTCCATCATCTCCCAGTAGTTCCGCAGATCCAGCCTACATTCAACACAGAAGATTTGGGAGATGCTTTCAAAGTAGTGATAGCAAACAAGAGAACCAATGAAAGGAAGGAAGTCAGAAGCCCAAACTATCTTGTAGCCTGGTCTTTTGAACTGATATAATAAGTTGAATACTCTTTAGGTTCCAAGTGAATCAGCCCACATCCAAAGGAAGGGAGATTGCACAGAGAGGGACGCAAAGGAGCATTGATCCATCCCAGAAACACCAACCACATCCTCCTTCCCTTATCAAATTAGGTTCCTTTTACCACTTTTTTTTTCTCCTTTAACACTGAACATTATGTAGCATACATGAATGTGTCTAATTTTCTTATTGTCTTTCCTCATTAAAATCTAATCTTCCATGACAGTAGGGATTTCTTTTGCTTGTTTGTTTTCCTTTTCATTATTGCATCTCTAAGCAATAGAAGTCTTCCTGGAATGTGATTGCTGAACGTCAGTCAGTCAATCAGTGAGAAAAGTTTTGAATCCAGAAGATCTCCAGTAGCTCCTGTAAGCCTTTTGTGACCCTTTCACCCTGTTCCCTCTTGCCTTGTCAGATTGGTGATGAAATTCTAGAGATCAATGGTGAGACCACCAAAAACATGAAGCATTCTCGGGCCATAGAACTGATTAAGAATGGTGGCCGCAGAGTTCGTCTGTTTCTGAGACGGGGAGACGGCTCAGTCCCAGAATATGGTGGGTCAAACTATGAAAACGTTACTTCCTTCCCTGGCATGACTCCATGAATTTGTCTCCAGAACGGCAGCAGGAAAGTCCTTTTTGTTTCCCCTATTCACCAGTGTCTTACCAGCCTCTCGCACCATGTGATTATCTGCCTCGCTTGTTCTGAAATCTCTACATATTTCATCCTTTTGCTTGCTTACGTGGACTGGGGCATGGCCTAAGACAAGATCTTGATAGCCCCCTTTCTCATAATCAGAGAGAACATTTTGTCTAGTCCGACCAAGAGCGAAGGAATGTTTATTTGAACTGTGCCAAACTGTTTCTCAGATCAAATTGTTAGCACAAAATGACTATATACTCCTTTTAAGAAGCAGGAAAGCAGGTTTCCTGAGCGATATGTTGAGGCACAATAGATAATATATATTTTTTTCTTTTCTGGTTACTTGATGTCTTAATTTAAGAGGCATAAATTTCAAGATATTGGGGTGGGGGGGGTTGCTCACCTCCTTTATGATCTGTGTACAATAATTCCCCACCACCCTCCCTGGTCTCTTACCCCAGATCAGACCACTGGAGCCCAATACTATCAAACAAACGAACTGTTGATCGATTAGCCATATGTTTTCAAGTGATCAAGGGTGAAATAGATTCCCAGTGCTCATCCTGAGGGAAACATGTTCCTATTCCTTTCCTGTGAGGAAAGCCAGGTTATACGTAGAGTTTCTTGGTCATATCTTTAGACATGATTTTGACTAGACAGCAGTGATCTTTCCATAGCTTAGTGTTCTGATGGCAAAAAATTGTATATTGAAAGAATTAATGACCTATTTGAGAGTCTTGTTTAAAGTTTTAAAAAACAAACAAATAAATAAATGAAGCTATGCCCTAGATGTAGGGCTATTTTTTTTCCCAACCAAAGGTCTACAGAAGTTTCTATAGAAACTGTGATTGAATGGTCCCCAGATCTATGGGTCCCCTTTATTTGGGATGTATCTGTTTACCACCCACTTTTCTGAAAGTCTCCGCACAATTCCCAGTTGCATTTTGGACTCGATGCTTCATTCAAATCTAGCCCCAGGAGGAATTGCTCCTTTGAATGGCAGTCTTCCCAAGTGTTGGTTGGTACAGGTGCAGAGTATTAAGGGGTGTGAGGTAAGGGAGGAGGGTGAGTATCAGATGAGGGCCCAAAATTTAAGCAAGGCCAACCCGAGGGGAACCTTCGTGACAATGTTCTGACGCCATGGCTGCACACTGTACTAAACTTCTGACTCAATGCCACTGAAACTGTGTAACATTGTCTCCCTTTTCTGTCTTCCCTATGCTTCTGTTGGATGTGATATTTCATTTGAGAGTCATCATCAGTAACCTGTGTACCTTCTCCAAACCTATGTCTGTTGCACTGAGGATGAAAATCCGACACTAACAAATGTTCTTTGGGCTAAAAATAAAGATCGTTTAACGATATGGTTTTCCAAGAAGGGTTTAACATGCCAGGTTTATGCTGCTGTTTAACTGTCTCCATGCGTCATTTGGACTAAGTCTCTCTAATGCTATTGATTAGAGTCACAAATGGGTTATAATATGTTAAGTTCCAATATTTTTCTGACTTGATTGGAACCTGCTTCTCTGTGAGGCTATTTTTGTAATGAGTTTTTTGTACTTAATTTAACTGCCGCGGTCTTGGGGGGGGGGGGGGGAGTGGAGGGAGGGCATGGGGGGAGGGGACTTTGTTCTTTTGTTGTTTATTGTTAATGCTCTCCTATGCCAGCCTGTCATTGTCGCAGTTGTTTGAAAAAAAAATGCAAAACAAGAAAAGAAAGGATGCATCCATTGTCTGGGTTCTCGAGTCATCTATGGCTGTCTAAAAAGTCATTGTTCCAATTGCGGTCTTTGCAGCCTTATTTGAGTGTTGCCTTAGACTGTCTGACTGGACGAATAAACTCTCTTTTGCCCTATGTTAACAAATGCAGATTTTTTTTTCTTTCCTCCTTGTTATAGGGAATCTAAACGTTCAACTTTTTTCTCTTTCTTTCTCTTTCTCTCTGACTGTTCTTGGTGCTGGGCCCTCCCTTCTACAGCGATGATACCTCCTAATATCGCTGCATGTATGAGAAATGAAAAGCTCGGGGAGGCTTGCTTCTACCTTATGGGCCATAATCAAACTACGGTTTGTAGCTCAATCAATACTAGGTGTTTCTGTGCTGTGGCCTAATTTCCTCATTGCTTCTGCTTAGCTCTATTTTGATATGTTTGGCAATTCATTCTGAGCACCCTGCGTTCTTTGAATTGTAAGTACACTGTGACCCTGTTGAAGTGTTGCTATCCCTTGTCCTAAAAGTAGGCACAAGAATCCAGGTTAGAGGTACACTTGTGGTCTCAGAGCCTTTCTTTCCCCAAATACCAATCCCTTCATTCTAATAACCCACCCTACATATCAAAAGAATGAGCCCCAATATCATAAAGTTCTTAACTAGATAGCTAGGGATTTGCTAGACAAGATGGAGAGATAACTGGTCCTTTAGGTATCTCTTGGCACACAACAGCCCGTCTGCCAAGTCCTGGCCATAGCCTGTTTTGTGTGTGTACGTGTATGTGTTTTGTAAATAAAGTTTTATGAATAGTCACACCCATTTCTTTTAGCCATTTCCTGTGCTTATACCACAGTGGCAGAGTTAGACAGTTGCAACAGGGACTGCTTAGGACCTCCTGATCTAGACTTATCTTCCTGCCTATCTTAAACTAAACATGGGTTTTGGAAGATCCTTTATGAAACAGATTCACTGTTGATTACTGACCTTTACCTCATGAAAGACCCTTTAAGAACCCCTCTACCTACACTGCAACAGGCATCTATAATTTGTTGGATTTGTAACTGTTTGAAAAAAAATCTCTGCTTTGCCGAGAACTCTCATAACTTCAGGATGCCACCCAATGCATTTGTGATGTCAGTCTAGTAGCTCCATAGTTCCTGGATCACAGTCAGATAAGGAGAAATGCCTTTAAATTTTAAGGATTTCATGAGACCCACCTAATTTCAAATGTGTACTGAACAATCTTTCTTCTCTTCCCTTTTATCTGTCAAAAACAACCCCAGCATTTCAAAAACAGTTCCTTATTTTGGAGTCTATACAAAAATAAACAAAGTAGATAAATAATGTAGTAGGATATAAACATCCACAGTTGCCAGTCAACATCTGGCTTGCATGTTACCTCTATAATCCCCTTTGCCCAACACTCTGAATTCTTTATTAAAGTGCAAGTATGATTTGAATATGGTAAAATATGTAAATCCTGAGAATACAGTGCAATGGATTGTCCACCTTTGTGTGCGTCCATTTAAATCACCCTCCCCCCCCCCCCCCCCAGATGAGACCTAGATTATTTCTATTCACCAGAAAGCTTCCCTCCTGCCCCTTCAGGTCAGTGTCCTAGATTAGTTTTAAGCAAACCAAATCAAGTGTTGTTTGTTCTTTTAAATGAAGAATTCTTGAGTGAGGCAATGGGCGGGGGAAGGACAGAAGGGTTAGTGGGAAAGGAAGAACAATGGATAGGTAAGGTAGATACTTCTAGACTATTTGGGTTGTGCCTTTAAAGATTAATTCTTTATGTAGTTTGAATGGAGAACAGTCAGCTAGACACTGAAAGCCAGTACCAGTTTGGTTTGGTTTGGTTTTTTTAACCCTAACTAGTTGTAGTTCAATTAACCAAGATTCAGTTGGCTTTGATTCTGACTGCTTTAACGTTTGTTTGTTGTGACTAATGAGTCCACTGTGGGTGAGAGAGGGGCCAGCCGCCCAAGGCTCTTGGTACCAAACTATTGCTCTCCCTTGTCTTCCTCGCAGACCCCAGCAGCGACCGGAACGGCCCCGCCGCCGCCGGTGCACAAGGGGTTCCGGAAGTGAGGCCGGGGCCGTGCGACCGTCGACCACATCCATCATTGGAGTCCAGTTACCCACCCGATCTTCACAAATCATCACCACACGGGGAAAAGCGGGCACACGCGAAGGATCCCAAAGGCAACCGAGAGTACAGCAGACAACCCAACGAACACCACACCTGGAATGGAACTTCTAGAACACCCGACGGCGGGGTATGCCGGCCCAAGGAGCGGGCGCTGGAAGGATGGAGAGACGCGCCGCCGCCCGAGCGCACGGCCACCAACGGGCCCAAGCGCAAGGCCGTGGAGAAGCGCAGGGAAGGCACCCGCAGCGCGGACAACACCCTGGAGAGGCGACAGAAGCACGAGAAGCGCAGGGAGCTTTCTCCCGAGAGGCGGCGAGAGAGGTCCCCGACCCGCAGACGGGACAGCTCGCCCGGCCGCCGGCGGAGGTCCTTGGAGAGGCTCCTGGATCAGAGACGGTCGCCGGAGCGGCGTCGGGGGGCCTCGCCCGAGCGGAGAGCCAAGTCCACCGACCGGAGGAAGGCCCGCTCCCCGGAGCGCCGGCGAGAGCGCTCCCTGGACCGAAGAAACAGGGAGGACCGAGTGGGCGCCCACCGCGAGAGGGAAGAGGCCAGCCTGAGACCGGAGGCCGGCAGGAGTTCCAGGAACCCCCCGGAGCAGAGGAGGCGACCCTACAAAGAATGCAGTACGGACCTCAGCATCTGAGACGGGGAACGCACAAGACCGCCTCCCAACCTTTACCGTGTCAAAGGTTCTAAGAGGAAGGGCACACACCTGACAGAACTCAGTGTCGTACCTACCTACACGCAGCAGCTTGTCACCTGATGATCCTCCCAATAGCAGCGGACATTTTATGTATTTGAGATCTTATAAGAAGAAAGAAAGAAAGAAATATATATATATATATATATATATATATGAAAAGTGTTGTGCCTGATGTATAATATTAAAGAAAGTATTTTTAAATGCATACTTCTTTTGGGAAATTATTTGCCAAAATACTGGCCCAAAGGGATATCAATTCTGTTTCTACATAAACTGTAGAATTGTCAAGCATTGTCCTCCCCTTGGGCCAACCTTCCTCTCCTGGTTCAATGGGACTGTTGTTCATTTTCTGTGAGGAAAGGAAATGATTAAGATCAATGAGCTTAATACAGACTTTTGCATAGTGATGTCATGCAGACAGGAGTTTTTTCTTAAAAGCAAAGAGCAAAAACACAAAAGGTGAACTCAGTCAGGCCACAGTAACTCACACCTGTCATCCTATCAGGATGCTGAGATCCGAGGATCGCAGTGTGAAGCCAGCCTGGCCAGTAAAGTTCATGAAACTGACCACCAATGAAACACACACACACACACACACACACACACACACACACACTGGAAGTGGAGCTGTTGCTCAAGTGATAGCATAACAGCCTTGGGCAGAAAGTGCCCAGGTCTTGAATTCAAGTCCTAATAGCAGACACACACACACACACACACACACACACACACACACACACACACACACACACGAACACTGATAACCTTTTGGAATAGATGAGAATTGCCCATGATCCTAAAATCAAGCAAACTGTATAACAAGACTACTATACAAGTGAAGGATATGTATAGCTTAACTATGCAGCACAAAGGTATTTTATGTTTTTAGGAGTTTTGCAAAAACCAGTTTGTACTCTCCTTGGCCCAGGAAGGCAAGGAGATGAAGTTGGCTGCCATTACCCAAATACAACTTTATGACACAGATTGTAAAATTCATTAGCCTCTCCATCATGAAATAGCAACTCCTTTAAGGCAGTGCCATGCAAGCTTTGTTCAGCAATTCCAAGGGCCAGGCAACAAACAACTGTGCTGTTTGGTCTGCTCTGAAGCCGAATAGTAGACATAGGACCAGTGTGCCTGCTACGAGGGAGACAATAGTATCCCCACTACAGATAGCTTTGGTGGAAGGAACCTCTCTCTTGATCCTTAAAATAAGAGGGTTAGCCATCCTTAGAAATGCTGATTGCACTTTGGAACCATAGTGGAACTCTTCAGATGGAAGGAAGGAAGGAAGGAATCTAAGTGCTTCTAGATCTTTGGAAAACCTCTGTCCTCACAACCTTGTCCTCCACAGCTTTGGACAACAGAACAAAACAATGATTTTTGATTTTTAAAAGGTCCAGTCTTTTTTGAACCCTCTCAGGTGGTGTATCGTTGGGTCGGCTATAGCCCCAGGATGTGGTTTAAATGGATTTCTGCCTAGCTGAGCCAAATGTTTGCTTGTACCTGTTGGATCACTACAGCAAACTGCTGCTGACCGTGCATTGTGTATTTCTGTAGTAATGTTTTGCATTTTCCTTACAGACACACAAAACTTTGCAAGTCCATCACTGTCGTTCCCATGGTACTGTATTGAAAAAAAAAAGAAAAAAAGAAAAAAAAAGCCAATCATTGTATGTACAGTTGAAAATTGTAATTAATAGAGCCTGTTGGAGAAAAAAAAAACAACTGTTGCCTTTTTTTCTTGTATAAAAGAGAATTTATGACAAAAACTTAGCTGTGAGGAATGTGACATGTGTTTATATTTCTGAATATGAACAAATTGACTCATGGGGATATATTTTAATGTAAACTAAATCAGGTATGTAAAGTTGTTTTAAACCCAGGAGACTGCCATTGTCTGCAGCTCTAGTTGGTTTGGGATTTCTTCATTTCCTCCCTGGTGAGCCTGCTTGTGGCTTACTCCATCCTCCCTTGCACACTCTGTCCTTCACTCATTTATATTTCTTGCAAGTGTGCTATGGACTTAAGGCTCTTTCTGTATTGATGAAAGAAAGCAGTATGTGGGCCAATCTTTTTTATAAAACACTATGCATATATAACTATTACATTGTTCATAGCTTTATTTGACTTCTGGGTTTATGCATACTGTAAGAATGAGCAGCTCTAGTTGTGTGGACATATCTAAAGCAAGTTCCTTTCTTGGAACAGACACAACATACATTCTGTACCTAAAAAGGAGGAAGAAGTCCGAATGCTATTTTCATTATTAGAGTTTTCCACATGAAGCATATATTGAGCTGTGACCGTAAGGCTGAAGAGGAGTACAATGACAATCTTTTGTTTTTCTTTTTTCAATTTCCTAAGAGCTAATTTGGAGATGGTATTCCCAAGACTCCACTGCTAGGATTTTTCTCAGCACAATCTATGATGTCAAATGACTAATCCTCTCTCGGTTGTGGTCCGGGGTTTAAAACAAGTGAAACCAAGGGAGATTTTTGGAGTCCATTCTGAGGTTTTCATCTTCATTATGTCTTTCTTGAAAGAGATAGTATTCGATATTTTAAACTCTGTGCTACTCACCTGAGTTTTGTCTCAGTTCTTGAGGACTTATGGTGTGGCAATTTACCTGAATCTCACACATCAGATTTGCTTTGGAGATGTGTTTCTTCATAGGGACTATGCATTAAGAAGAAAGATGGTTTTCTTTGAACTACTGTAACCTTAAATTGGAAACCGATTCTTGTGAGCCTCTTTCCCCTAACCCACACATACTCACTTCATGTAAAACTGTTGATGAGAGATGATGGATGAGTATTTTGTATGATTAAGTCAAACCATTTAGAATTTCTTCTCTCTCCATTACTGGGTTGATGCCTGAAAGAATGTTGTGGGGAAGACTCAATACCCTACTTGTATTTTTTAAGTTTGTGAAAGATTTTTTAATGCATTTTTACTGTAAAAATACATGGAAATGTATGCATTCCATAACCACTACTGTTTCCGGATTGGTATCTTCCTTGTCTCCATGTTGTCTTCAATGTATCAGGGTCAACTGATCAACCGAGGGTGCCTGTTTCTATTCCATTTCTGTTGAATGGTGTGCTGTGGAAAAGTGCCTTGCTTACTCAGAGTGACGTCTGGGGACCAGGTGCCTCATCTCCACTGGGGAGTTGGATATGTAGAATCTCAGACCCGTTTCAGGCTTGACTCTAAATGTTCATTTAACAAGATCTTCAGCTCATGTATCCAGACATGATATCTTGAGCCACATGGTAGAACATAGAAGCCGAGTAATAAAGCCAATTCTGCCAAGCCAAGAGTTTCATCACCCTCTAATTATGGTACTTGGAAGATTCTTTAGCGTTCAGCCTCCTTGTCCTAGAATGGGTCAGAACAGGTGCATGGTGCTGAGCATTACACTGGTAATTCAAAGCCACTCAGCAAATGACACTAAAAATTTATGGAGTTTCCTACTAATATTCTTGCCCTGACTTATTTTCCAAACACTATGGACAAGCTTTTTTTTTTTTTCACTCTATGATTTTAATTGTAAAATTAACATGGTCTGGTTTGTGCTACTGAATAGATGCAATTGCACTTACGTTTGTTTTTATATCGGAAACTAAAATGCTACTGTACTCTGAAACTGAGACTCAAATAGTCCCAAAGCATAATTTTTGAAGATAGAAAAATGTGGAGAGCCAGGCATACTCCTGGATCATACAGGATGGAAATCGAACCCATTAGCAGATGATTTCACTCATGTCCAGGTTGATCATGTAACTTGAAGCAACTTTCCAATTTCCTTTGCACAGTTTTAAAATTGTTCCTTTTGTATGACTTAGTGACAGGTTTTCCTGTAGAGTTGAGGCTCCTGGGTATTCAAAAGAGTATTGTGTTGAATAGTAGGCCTTCCTAAGTCCTTCTCTTCTATAGTATTTTGCTGTATTTTGTCACCAACATAATTATGGGCAGGCTTTTCTTTCTTCGTATCTCTTTTGTTAAAGATGGAATATAGGAATGCTCCTGTGTCACGAATAATTGATGCTGTTTGTAAAGCCTCATGTCACACAAGGGCTTTGCCTGCCACAAATAGCCACACTGAAAAGAATGCTGAGATCTGATTCTAGCTGTCAGAATTTCTCTCGCTGGTGGGGGCAGAGACCACCTTTGGTGGGCTGCATTCATCCTGAAAGGAAAAGCTCTTCCACCTTCCTTTAGGTGATTTTTCTTGATCGGCGGCAACACTGTTAGCACTGAATGTTGATTCCATAAGACCAGCTCTTGAAATACACATTATAAGCTTGCAAAAAGAGCAATGACAAGGCTCTAGCACAACAAATCGGGGTGTGTTTTGCAGGGGTGGATAGACCTCCTGTGAGATGTTTTGACTCGATTTGCCAGTGATATCTTTGCATGGTGGTGGTCATATCATCGTGAAGGGCACTGGAGCTGGTTGTCACTTCATCAGTGCAGTCTTCTTAGTGTTTGCTGGATCCAAAGCACAACTGTTCTTTGAAAGCATACAGATACAAGCAAGGCGGTATGAGCTGTTGGCGTTGTATGCGAACTGCTCAAGGATTGCCTGTGACGTCTTTGTTTTACTGCATTGAACTAGAAAGTCTTCACGGCGGTCATGTCTCTGGAGGAAATGAAGTCCAGGTCTACACTGCCTGCAGCTCACCAGTAAGCGCTGACCTTTTACATCTATACTTTAGGGAATAACTTGTCTTTATTCTCATAGTATCATAGAATTGAAGAGGAAATAGAAGAGCTGTTGATTTGCACATGATTTCAATCATGATGGCCCTTCAATGAATTTTTTTTGTGGGGGGGGGGTGGTAGTAGGATTTAAAACTCTAGGCTCAGTGCTTGCTAGGTAGGTGCTGTACTGATTAAACTATGTCTTCATCTTTTTTGCTCTGGTTCTATTTTGTGATCAGATCTTGAATTTTGCCCGTGTCACCCTGGACCATGATTCTCCTATTTTGTGTTTCCCACCATAGTAGGACAACAGGCATGTGATGCCATACCCAGCCTTTTCTGTTGAGCTAAGTTCTTGTGAGCCTCTACACTTCACACACACAGAGTCCAGCCTAGAGGTTGACTTGAAATCCCAATGCTCCTGATCAGCCTCCTGTGTAGGTGGGGTGACAGATATGCACCAGCATGCTCAGGTATTGGGTGAGATGAAGTCTCACAGAACTTTTCTGGCTTAGGCTGGTCTAATACTGTGGTCCTCCCAAGTAGCAAGGATTACATGCTGACACAACTGCTTCCTAGCCTTCAATGACACATGTATTGAAGACCAACTCTGTGCCAGTTACATGGTACACATACCTAGTTCTTGTTCTGGAGAGCATATAGTTTGATGGGAGAAGAGAACAGCGGGGAGATGGTGCCCTATGACAATAGCTAATGCAGTGTTAACTAGATTGAAAAAGTGCTAGATAGATCAGAAGGGAAAGAAGGACTTACCTGGTAACAGAAGTTCAGGGAAGTGATGATGTAGAGAAGGGAGTGTGTTCCAAATGGAAAGGCCCCTGAAGCCCCAGGCCATCTTATTTTGGGTGAGGGAGAGTGTCACCACA